GATTAAACTCAAATTTATGTTATTGTACATGTTATCATTTCATAAAAGTCATAAAAATATTCTTTTAAAATAGCAAGTACTGTTTTTTAAAAAGTTTTTAAAATCAGATAAGATAAAATCTATGTTCATATCAAAATGATATGCACATATCAATCTGATCTTTTGTCAGTTTTTTTCCCCTGTTGAATTCTTTATTTTAAAAGTGAAGGGGAAGTACATATCTTTCAGCTCTATCAATCCAAACTTCCTATTCTAAAAATCTTTAAAACAAAATACATAACTCAAGCATCAAGAGGAAATCCGAAGAGAACTCGTCTTGCTTCAATGTCAACCTCTTTTTTCAAGTACACGGTGACCTGCAAAATAAGCCATCCACAAACCGGATATATAAAACATTATCCGAAATCACCCCTATCCCGCTTTTGATCCGCCCAACTCCCCCTCGTTCGCGGCTCGGCATTAATGAGTCTCATATAATTTAAATTTATTTTTCGTTTGTTTATTTCTGCGGCGGCCATTGCGGCTGGGCATGAATTTTTGCTTAGCCACGATCCACTCGGTATATAACCATTTGTTCGAGTCGTCGATTATGTAATTTCGTTGCCGTTTCGCTGCTGTTTTGTTTAGACTTCTCGAGCCGCAGCAACAACAAGTTTATTCCGATGGCATTTTACTTTTTTGTGTGTTTCGGTCGTATGTAGGTTGGGGTCACATCTCCGCCGGGCAATTGACTGCGATGACTGCCACCGGGTCGGGGGTCTGTGTCTATGCCCCTCATTGTTTCCAGCACGAAGAGCTGGCAAGAAAACCAGCAAAAAGCAGTCAAGAAAATAACGAAAACAAACCTCAAGACCGAAGCTCAGTTTCAGTTGAGAGACCAAAACAACTTTGTCAATTTAACGATACAAAACGATGGGAAATTGGGGGAAATAAAATCACATAACATGATCTAAGACTGAAAGTTGTAACTTCAATTTTTATCTGCCTAAAAAATGACGTAAGGTTAAGTTTTTTTATAGCTTATTATAGGTAAAGAAGGGAAGATAAATTCTAAAACTAGCCTTGAAGAATTCTTTATTTTTCAATGTAATATTTAGTACTAATTAATATATTCTTCATATTTCTAGGAACTTCCCCGTGCTGAGCCCCTGCTGGGAGGAACTGCTGGATCGGCCGATGACTCCGAACTGCAGAGCCTGGAGCCAGAGAGTCGCAAGACTGAAGCCACCCAGGATGCCGAGGAGCACTCCGACAAGGATAACTCCTACTCCGACAGCGATGAGACCGATGAGTTGCAGAAGTATCCCGGCAAAATGCCACTCGAGCTGGACTTGAGTGACCTGGCTGCCGCTATTCTGCGCAACAACAAGAAGTAAGGATTAGTTATATAGTTAATTTAATTATAAATAGTATATAATATATATTAAAAATATAAATATAATATTTTGGTATCGAAAAGCAAGAGCGAGATAACTTCTACCTCTAAATCAAGATCGCTTTACCTAAAAAAAAAAATTGAGAGAGATTTCGCCTTGTTTTCAAGAACATTTTTTCTCGAGTGAGAAGATTTGGTCTTAAATTTTTCCTATTATATTTTAGACATTAAATCTATAAAATCCTTCCCATTCCCTATAGATCTCGCATGAACTGTGTGGTGGAGCGCAAGCACGCCGAGGAGATTGTCGACTCGCCCTCGAAGACGGTGGCCCTGCCGTTCGGAGTCAACCTGACGACGGATCCCAAGAAGGCCCGCATCACCGGCGAGCGGATCTCGATCTTCTGCGACGGCGGCGACGAGAAGGACAAGGAGGAGAAGGAGGCCAAGCGCCAGCGGGAGCAGGAGGAGGAGGATTCCGATGAGGATAGCGAGCCCCTGAGACCGATGTTCATTCCCTTCCAGCGTGTGCCGATTCCTTTCGGTCGCATTCCCGACCAGATGCCATTGACCCACATGCCACAGAGAATGATGCCCCCGGCCATGCAGATGCACCAGCAGTTGCCTCATCAGCAGCAGCAGCAGGGACCCATCATCATCCGCCAGCTGCCTCCTCCGTTCCAACAGCTGCCCATGCGTCCACCAATGCCGCCACAGGTGATGCAGGCTCCTCGCATGGAGTCCTCCGAGGAGTCGCAGATGCCCAAGGTCCAGACCGTGCGCATTCACATGCAGCAGATCCCCTTCCGCGAGATTCATGTGGCCGACGATGTGCCCGTCCAGATTCCCTTCCGTGAGTTGCAACAGCGACAGGAGATGCAGCAGCGCCAGGAGATGCAGCAGCGACAGGAGATGCAACAGCGACAGGAGATGCAACAGCGACAGGAGCAGCGTGATACCCCCCAGATCCAAATCCAGCCCATGCCCTTCGGAATGGCCCTGCAGCGCGTGGGCATCACCGCCGAGGATCTGAAGAACATTCAGCGCATGGCCGAGGATCGCATCACCGACGAGCTGCGCCGCCTGGCCGCCGAGGAGGGAGCCGAGTCCAGCGAGGGCAGTGAGGAGGATGTCTCCGCCTCCGGCGAGCAGTCCACCACCGAGGCACAGACCGCCGGACAGCAGCAACAGCAGCAGACCGTCCAGCCTGAGCAGCATCAGCAGGAGGAACAGCACCAGGAGGTCAGCCAGGAGCAGCGACAGGAGCAGCAGCAGCAGGAACAGCAGGTGCCCCAGATGCGCATCCAGCGACTGATCCTGCAGCCCTCTGCCGGAGCAGCCACGTGATACCATGACCCCGCCCATGCCCGATCAGCCCCAGCAGCTGCCCTTCGGCCGCATGGTCTATGGCCGCAGTCTGGCCCAGCCCGTCCGCATTCCCGTGCCCATGATGCAGGCCATGGAGGGAGGAGCCGCTGTCCCCGAGGAGTCCCAGCGACCTCACTGTGAGTACCTAATCTTCGGATATCACAAAAAATCCGTATGAAACGTAGATTAATTTTACATTATTTAAGATCAATTTTAATTTTGATATGCGGCCAGGTAAATTTGACCTGGTCATGTAAAATCGATTTAGGGTTTGCATGACCTGAAATTTACATGGCCATCTCGATTTTACGTGTACATGTTTTTTTGGGGGTAAATTAAAAATTAACGAAAATATTATTACGCTCTGAACCGGAATAGTAAATGATAAATGAATAAATGTCCATCACATAATTTAATAAAAGCTATAAATATTTATCAATCAATTTTGCACTATTTAGAGTCTTGATATCAAGTCATTATAATTTAAATTTTTTATTTTTTCACATTTTTTGTTTGACTAGAAATATTCTAAAAACTTGAATTACGTTTAAAACCAGATTTGAAAGTTAATATACCATTAATTGATGCTGACAAATGTAATTAATCTTGGGACAAGATATTGCGGTTATTAAAAAAACTAAAATGAGCAATAAATACATTAAGGAAGAAATAAAAAATAATGATTAACAATGAATGTTTTTAGATTAATGAATAAAATATCCATTTTCCCTTTACAGTCGTTCAGCCTCGTTCCGTTTAAGTAACAAGAAGACCACGCCTGTGATTGCTGCTGTGCGAATCGAATCTCGACGAGAGGATGAGGATAGAACGAGAAGAACTAGGAGAAGGAGTCATCATGTCCCCAACTAAACCCGAAGAATCTATTGAATTGTAACCGAGTCGTCTCGATTTGTTTTGATATTAAAGCAGCTTTAAAAAAAGAAAGACATAAACACCAAAACTAAATCAAAAAGTTTTAAATATTCCCTTTCGGCTTTCTTCTAAAACTTTTTTTTACAACATTCCAATCAACACGGAAACATAAAATATTCTCCTGTGAAAAAGAAAATTGTGAAAGTTTTCCAAGTGTTTTTTTTTCTTTCAGTTTTTTTGAATTGTCTACAGTTTTGTTTTCACATTCACACAAATAAATCCGATGGAAATTTTTGTACATAAATTATTATCGTATTTTTAATTAATTAATTGTCATGTGTAGTTGTTAGTAAATTAAGAACGATGCTGAAGCTGATCTGATCTTGATATAATCAAATTCCAAAACCAACGACAGCAAAGAGAAATTTGTACATTTTATATAAATATATATACTATATACACACACACATTTTAAAGCGAATAAAATTGTGGATAATTGGAAATCAAACAAAAGTTCATTTTAATTTGCATACGGGAAAAAGGAGTTTTAAATATTTAATTAAACAATTTAAAGATAATCCTGAAAATCCATTGTTTTACTTGGGAAATATATATCGACGATACCTATACCAATTTTCCTTGATTTTACAAAAGTTGTACAGCCTTTTCCATTTATAAATTCTTCGGTTCCCAGCATATAAAAAAAACATCCTTCGAATCTTAGCATCGTTTAAATTTTATTTTATTACGTCTCCACGCATTTCCGTTTTTAGATACCGCTCAAATCATACAAATTCGCAAAAATCGAACAATTTTATTTGTATATACTTTCATCTTCTGCATTTCCTCGTTTTTACATTTTTGTGCTTGTCTCTCGTTTACAGTTTATGTATATAATATATATATATTTTGATCAGTGTAAGTTATATGCTTGTATATACAGATTTTGCACGTGCACAAGACAGGGTAATAACAACCGATGTCAGCGGCTTCCTTTGGCTCAGCAAGGATGCGCAGTGAATTTGTTGGTTTCTCTTAATTTTCTTTACAATTACCTCGTGTATAATATAGTGTGACTAATCGTAAGTTGCATTGACGAGTGGGTTAGATGGGGGGGTTTTCTTTTTGACTTTAAGGATTAGGGGGTTTTGGGTGGGTGATGTACAATACGTTTTCGTAGCGCTCTCTCTCGTTAAAACTAAATTCGTCTAAGCCTTAAAAACAAAACACACGCTTGATTACAATTACATTTCATAACCAAAAGAATTATGAAGGAAACATATATACGGAGCTGGAAATAATATAATGGATCTAAACACACAATCTTTGTTCCTGGTCGGACTCACTCATCACTTGTATCACTGATTTCACCGATTTGCTCTTATCCTTGATCCTCTCCGCCTGTTTTTTTTCTTTCTTTCTCTCCTATAAAGCTGTAACAACGCGAACGTAATTCCACAATAAGGTAGTTATTATTATTATTAGCACTTCATCTCTTCGTTGACTATGACTATGGGGGCTTTTTCTGGGGGGAGATGATCTTCTAGCCATTCTCACACTGATGACCCTCGCAGTTGCCCCAGAAGATGCAGTTTCCGACGCCACTGTAGCATATTAGCGATACGGCTGTGAGGAATACCAGGCTACAGATGGTGCAGGGCTTTCGCTCCAGGAAGAACCCAACCAGGTAGAGCACTATGAACATCACGTGGGTTTCCATGAGAGCCGGATTCGTGGGTTTCGGTATCAGTAATACGGGTAACAGGCATTGTAGGCAATACATTCTGTGTGCAGATGGGTGGGTTGGTGTGTTCTATGTGTTCTGGGTTCTATTAGCGAGATCGTTGACGTGGTCTTCCGCGCGGCCTGCAAATGTCCCAGGAAAAACCCAGGGGGTCGAGGTTAGTTTTAATTGTTCTATAATTACTATCAACCGAAGTCCTGGGCAAAGACCAAAAACGTCAGCAGTCCACGATTTTGTTGTAAGTGGTCTTGTATGGATCTTTACTGCTCGGCATTACCTCTCCGGGGGCCTCCTGGCGCTGACCTCTTGGTGCTCGACTCGTTTACTTGCTCGTTTGTTGTGCGTCGTTTAAAATCATCACATATTTACCCAAAATTCTCTAAACATTGTTATCTATCGGAACATTTCGTTCTGATATCGATATATCGATAAGGGTTTTAGTGGTAGTGTTGCCAAGTGCCCGAGTCCAGTGCGTTGTTATTGCTGGTTCCGCGGAACCAAAGGAACCATTCGAACCAATGGAACCACTACAGAGCGCCAGAAATTTAAATTTAAATATTAACATCTGAAAAATTCTAAAGGAATTTAATTTCTGTTTCAGTTTTTATACCCTTGTAGAGGGTATTATAATTTCACTCAGATGTTTGCAACGCAGTGAAGGAGACGTTTTCGACCACATAAAGTATATATATTCTTGATCAGCACCAATAGCCGAGTCTATCTAGTCATGTCCGTCTGTCCGTCTGTCTGTCTGTCCGTCTGTCCGTTTCTATGCAAACTAGTCTCTCAGTTTTAAAGCTAGTTTCAGCACCTTATCACTGCCTACTTTCAGCCCGAATACTGCCTACTTTCAGCACCTAATCACTGCTTAGGTTCAGTACCTAATCACTGCCTACTTTCAGACCTAATCACGGCCTACTTTCAGCACCTAATCACTGATTATTTCTCCCTAATCACGGCTTAGTTTCAGCACCAAATCACTCCTACTTTAAGACCAAATTCATTGCTAACTTTGTAGCACGTAATCACTGCTTAGTTTAGCACCTAATTCTTGCCTACTTTCAGCACCTAATCACTGCAAAATTTAAGCACCTTATAACTGCCTACTTTCAGCACCTAATCACTGCCTACTATCTGCACCTAATCACTGCCCAGGTACAGCACCTAATGACTGCTTAGTTTCAGCACCTAATCACTGCCTACTTTACAGCACCTAATACTGCCTACTTTCAGCACCTAATCACTGCCTACTTTCAGCACCTAATCACTGCTTACTTTCTTGCACCTAATCACTGTTTAGTTTCAGCACCTAATCACTGCCCACTTTCAGCACCTAATCACTGCCCAATTTCAGCACCTAATCACTGCTTACTTTCAGCACCTAATCACTGCCAACTTTCAGCACCTAATCACTGCCTAGTTTCAGCACCTAATCACTGCCTACTTTCAGCACCTAATCACTGCCTACTTTCAGCACCTAATCACTGCCCAGTTTCAGCACCTAATCACTGCTTAGTTTCAGCACCTAATCACTGCCTACTTTCAGCACCTAATCACTGCCTACTTTCAGCACCTAATCACTGCCTACTTTCAGCACCTAATCACTGCCTACTTTCAGCACCTAATCACTGCCCTTAGTTTCAGCACCTAATCACTGCCTACTTTCAGCACCTAATCACTGCCTACTTTCAGCACCTAATCACTGCCTACTTTCAGCACCTAATCACTGCCAACTTTCAGCACCTAATCACTGCCCAGTTTCAGCACCTAATCACTGCCTACTTTCAGCACCTAATCACTGCCTACTTTCAGCACCTAATCACTGCCTACTTTCAGCACCTAATCACTGCCCAGTTTCAGCACCTAATCACTGCCTACTTTCAGCACCTAATCACTGCCTACTTTCAGCACCTAATCACTGCCTACTTTCAGCACCTAATCACTGCCTACTTTCAGCACCTAATCACTGCCTACGTTTCAGCACCTAATCACTGCCTACTTTCAGCACCTAATCACTGCCTACTTTCAGCACCTAATCACTGCCTACTTTCAGCACCTAATCACTGCCCACTTTCAGCACCTAATCACTGCCTAGTTTCAGCACCTAATCACTGCCTACTTTCAGCACCTAATCACTGCCTACTTTCAGCACCTAATCACTGCCTACTTTCAGCACCTAATCACTGCCTACTTTCAGCACCTAATCACTGCCCAGTTTCAGCACCTAATCACTGCTTATTTCTGCACCTAATCACTGCCTAGTTTCAGCACCTAATCACTGCCTACTTTCAGCACCTAATCACTGCCTACTTTCAGCACCTAATCACTGCCTACTTTCAGCACCTAATCACTGCCTACTTTCAGCACCTAATCACTGCCCAGTTTCAGCACCTAATCACTGCCCAGTTTCAGCACCTAATCACTGCCTACTTTCAGCACCTAATCACTGCCTACTTTCAGCACCTAATCACTGCCTACTTTCAGCACCTAATCACTGCCATCTTTCAGCACCTAATCACTGCCTACTTTCAGCACCTAATCACTGCCTACTTTCAGCACCTAATCACTGCCTACTTTCAGCACCTAATCACTGCCTACTTTCAGCACCTAATCACTGCTTACTTTCAGCACCTAATCACTGCCTACTTTCAGCACCTAATCACTGCCCAGTTTCAGCGCCTAATCACTGCACAATTTCATCACCTACTTACTGCCTACTTTCAGCACCTAATCACTGCAAACTTTCAGCACCTAATCACTGCCTACTTTCAGCACCTAATCACTGCCTACTTTCAGCACCTAATCACTGCCCACTTTCAGCACCTAATCACTGCCTACTTTCAGCACCTAATCACTGCCTACTTTCAGCACCTAATCACTGCCTACTTTCAGCACCTAATCACTGCCCACTTTCAGCACCTAATCACTGCCTACTTTCAGCACCTAATCACTGCCTACTTTCAGCACCTAATCACTGCCTACTTTCAGCACCTAATCACTGCCTACTTTCAGCACCTAATCACTGCCCAGTTTCAGCAGGATCGGACCACTATATCTTAAGGCTCCCATAGGAATATGCAAACAAATATAAGAAAATTCATTGTCTTTATTTTGGGGCACCTTATTCTTGACTACTTAAAAACAAAATTTAAATAAATAGACACGCTGAACCTGGAATCCCTGGAACTGCCCGAGTGAGCATTCTTTTATCTACAAGGGTATCTAAGCTTCGGCTGGCCTATTCTTTTCAGCACCTAAACATTCCCTAAAAACTGCCAAAATAAATAAAAAGGTATTAGACTCAGGCATTCTAATACCCTTGCAGAGGGTATTATGATTTCAGTCAGAAGTTTGCAACGCAGTGAAGGAGACATCACTGACCCCATAAAGTATATATATTCTTGATCAGCATCACAAGACTAATCGATCTAGCCATGTCCGTCTGTCCTCTTCCGTCCGTCTGTCCGTCCGTCTGTCCGTTCGTTTCTACGCAAACTAGTCTTTTAGTTTTAAAGCTATCGGGATGAAACTTTCGCGTAGTCGTATTTCTATTGCAGGTATTATCTAGTCGGAACCAACCGGATCGGCCTACTTTCAGCACCTAGGGATCAAAAAACTGCCCAGAAGGAAAAAAAAAAAATTGTACCTTCTACTCTTGGGAATATTTTTTTTTTTTTTTCTGAATTTCGGTTTTTTTGTTTTTTAATCCGGATCATTATATCTTATAGCTGCTCCATAGGAACGGTCGAAAAATTAAATGGAAATTAATGGGAAAAAAATTATATCTTTGTTGGTTTTTTTTACATTCCTTTTTTTTTTGGGATATGACTATTTTGAAATATTTCCGAATTTCGATTTTAATTTTTAAAAGATCGAACTACTATATCATATAGCTGTGATAGAAACGATCGAAAAACTAATGTGAAATAATAAGAAATTTAACATTTTTGCGATTTGTAAATTAATAGAATGATCTGCAAGGGTATATAAGCTTCGGCTTGCCGAAGCTAGCTTCCTTTCTTGTTTTAAATTGAATTCATTTATATATATTTATTTTTTCTATTTTCACTAAACAATGCATTTAAAAGCAAAAAGCCAAATAAAAATTACGTAAGTGCGAATAAAAAATATCGCCTTTTTGGCGCACAAATTTAAAACCGATAGCCTTTATGGTATTTTAAGTACTTTTAGATGCTGAAATATACTAAAATGTTGCAAAAAATACGAGACCCGTACTTCAAACAAAGAGGGGATTCCCTAAACTGTTGAATTGTTGAAAATTCAACAGAAAATTTCAGCAATTAAGGAAACGATCCAAAATGGTTCCTGTTGAATTTTCAAACAGCTGTTATTGGTTGAAAAGTTTTACGGAACTTAAAACATGTAAGATTTTATTTGGTGGAATTTGGAGCACTGGAAAGGGGGCCAGCGACAGCGAGATACCTCACAGCCATGACATCAACCATGTAAATATCCATACATTTTACATTGAAATTAGGCTATCCACGCGATCACACTGATTTTGGAGCATAAGCTGCAAGGACATCAATATCCAGACCACTGAAACTCAACAAAGGGTGTCTTGAACGTTAAAGGATATTGATAAGTTTCTCATCCGGTACCTACATCTCATCGTAGCAACGATCGGTCAGCTAGAAAACCAATCAAAAGTTCCCTATCGACGGTGCATTTATACCATTTCAAACTGCATCTGTTTCAGCCTTTATTTAGCATACAACAAGACACCAAAATGTTCTCATTAATCAAATATGATAAGACCGCCATAACTTCTTTGATAACGAGTTCCAACAGTTATGAATTAAAAAAAGGTATATAATTAGCATACACACAACAAAATTTATGAGAGCATAATTATTTTTCATATTACAGTTACAGTTTTTTATTACAAACCAAAATAAAAGAAACACTTTTTAATTCGAGGGGTTATTCCCAGTAATTAGGCACTCTTTTATATCGTGGTTTCAAGATAAAATAATTGAATCGTTAGTGATTTGGTATTAATATTAATTGAAAGCAATACTAGACCAGAGACAAGCAGAGATAACGATTCTTTGATAAGAAACAATTAGAATTACGAATACAGTGTTTACGTTAAAGACAAAAGAACAGAATGAAAATAAATATGATCATAAACGTTGTAACTCGAAGGATTATAATTGTGCGAAAGTGTGTATAGGTTTTTATTGCTAATGCGGGTTCCCCATAATCAGAAAGAGATATTTCTTGGTACCAGACCTATCTGAGTCATGAGAACTTAACAACAGTTTAATGTCTTCTTTGATAAGATAGAACTTTATTATATAAGTACTTAATTTGTTTTTTGTCTCAGCTATTATTTCATGTACTAAAGGTGTTTTTTCGTTATATTTGGGACTTCCCCCAATACCACACTGCAATCGTTTTTTTTTATATTTTAGTTTAGCCTTTATTTGTCCTTTCGCTTTGATATATATTGTTTAACATTTTTTATAGTTCTTTAAAAGGCAAGTTATTTTGATATTATTAGTAGTAGTTAAATTTTGTTATTATACCCGTTACTCGTAGAGTAAAAGGGTATACAAGGTTTTTTTAATATTATATAACAGCTAGAAGGAAGGGTTTCCCAAACCAAAAAAATAATTTTTTTTTTGTTAGGAATCTAGCCATGTCCGTCTGTCCGTACTGTCGGTCTAAATTTTGTCCGTCTTTATGAACGCTGAGATCTTAGAAACTAGAAAAGTTAAAGGTTGAGATTTCCCACACATAATTCTTTGGCTTCCTACGCAGCGCAAGTTTATTTTAGCCGAGTGCCACGCCCCCTCTAACGCCCACAATCGCCCACTAACGATTTTTTTCAAAATGGGTCCTGCGCCCACATCTTTAAAGATTTCCGACAAGTATAAATGCAATTTTGTTGTGTATATTTATACCTATCGAAATGTAGAAGACATTTTTCAAATCGGACCATTCATTAAAAAGTTAGGTACGCAATCAAAAATTATATATCTATCTCCCTCCACTCCCTTTAGCTGAGTTACGATTATTAGTCGGGACACCAACCCGCGTTCGCCTTTTTACTTTTTATTTGGTTCTTTTTTTTAGTTCTTAGAAAATTAAAAATAAATCTCACTTAAATGAATTTGGAATGACCCTCATTCAAAATGTCAAAAAATTTGTCATTCCAATGTAGGTCAGCATCTTAATAATATTTAGTACAAAACAAGTTTTACTTTTTATTTGGTTTTAATTTATTTACAATATTAAATAGTTCTTTTTAAGTCGTAAAAAAATATAAGGACATAAATGAGCCATTTTATTTGTTTTTTTCTAAAAATTAGGTTTGTACTTAAAAATTCGTAAAAATTCTTTTAAAAATCCTACTTAAATCACATGTAAGCACGTTTCGGCAATTAAACGTAATTATCTCTCAGCACGCATTCATAAAGTTGGCGACATAATTCGACATGACAGAGGTTATTCCGTAGTGTTCATTTCTGGTTTGATGGGCTTGAGACTGGGCAGCAGGTGGGTGAGGATGCTAACACATTTGTGAGTTCCTCTGGAGCTGCATGATCTCGGCAGCTGGTGGCAGAGTCATCCCTATCAATTGGGCCATGGGATATGAATCTGATCTTTGACAATACGCAGGAGGCGGTGGCAGGAGCAGTCTTCTCTGCAACTCAATTGCTGTGCTTAGCGATGCCGATGATCGTGATACTAAATATAACTTTAAAAAATAAAGTCTTTAATCACCTTTGTTTTGTGGCACGCAGTTTATATTTTTCCGGATGTACTTGAGTTAATCAGGGCAGAACTTTAATTTCCAAGAACACTTGATGTTCAAACTTAAGTAGTTAAATATGGGTAATAATGATAAAGAGTACTAATTAAAGAATCGACAAACAAATACTCAGCAAAAAGACATATAGATACTTTTAATAAATATATATTCTATATTTAGTTACAAATATTCGCAAATACATTTACTTAGTTATAGGCAATTGATTTTTTTGGCTAGTCAGAAGAGTATATTTCTGTCAACCTTACGTACTGGCATTGTTTACAAGAGCAAGGCAATAAATTGATAAAAAGACCTAAAGTCGATTTACTTGGCTATCAATACACGTGTAAATAAAATAGATTAGACAGATAGACAAGAAGAACAGTAGAGTATTAAATGGAAGAAATTGCTATATAAGCAAGGAACCTCAGTAAAAAGTTGTACTGTGAAAGAACGTCCACTTTTCAAAACATGAGAGGTAGTTTAATATTGCTTACACATTAGAGGGAAAAAACTTATAAATTAATTTATTTAAGGTTTTAACATTCTGGGAATTCTGGTAGTGCTCGCACTTCTTGTAAGTGCTACATTTTCGTCGGAAGAGGATACTACTATTGAGACCACAACAGATGGGGTCACCACTGAGGAGGTAACTACCGAGGAAGCTACCACGGAGGTTCCTACCACAACACTTCCGCCTCCAGTCCTGTGTGCTGATGGAGATTTATTTCTTCCAGCACCGGACTGTAGGCAGTACTATCAATGCCTGTACGGTGAGGGAATTTTGAAATTATGCCCTGACGGTCTCTACTGGGATCGTGAGTTGAACGTATGTGCCTGGGACCCACAGTATTGCACCGATGAGAAAAACGAAACCACCGAAGCTCCGTCCTTGAGTTGTTCCTCTGGATTGCCATTCTTGCCCTATCCGCCCGATTGTACCAAATTCATTCAGTGTGTCTACAACATTGCTATTAAACTCAGCTGCCCAAGTGGACTGTTCTGGAACCAGCCAATTCAAGCGTGTGACTATACCTGCGACAATGCAGTCGAGTTCTCTAATGATTTCCAGGTGCAATAACCGGCAATAAATAGGTAGTATTTTGTAACACACCAAAAATGTACACATGTACTAAGCAAAATAAAGAAAAAGCAATTCAACGTAATTAATTTTCAGTAGACGGCAGTTCAAATGAGTTCCTCTTAAAGATAACGGGCTTCGCAAAAAAAGATGCGATAAGACGGCGAATAAGCTTCAAATGGGGTTATAAATATGAATACACCTAGCACAGGTATCATTTGGCCAAATGCCTCTGTAAAACTCATACGAAAATCGGTAGCGATGAGTAGCGATAATAAATCCTTTAAGGATTATAGAACTTTCGTTGTGTTAATAGTGTTACTCACGCAAATAGTGCACATAAAAGCCGAACGTAAACAAACTTTGCAAGAAAGAAGTTACCTAGTTAATATTGGTAAACCTATAAGTGATTCGTTTCGAACTGAAAAACTTAGTCGTAATCAATCAAATGAATATGATGACGGAGCACCAAAGCTAGCAGAGGCAGTTTATTTTGCGGGAAAAAATTCATTGCCGACTCATGAAGAAACTAAATCTGGGGATGGAACTACCGTAGAAGATTCAACTCCCATTCCCAACGAAACTACAACAGCTGCCCAGGACACAACGAATGAGCCTGAAGATACCACTAAGATCGACGATGCTACGACTGTTCCAGAAGAAACTACAACAGCTGGATCTGGGGATGGTACTACCGTAGAAGATTCGACTCCCATTCCCAACGAAACTACAACAGCTGCCCAGGTCACAACGAATGAGCCTGAAGATACCACTAAGATCGACGATGCTACGACTCTTCCAGACGAAACCTCTACAGCTGGATCTGGGGATGCTACTACCGTAGAAGTTCAACTCCCTTCCACGAAACTACAACAGCTGCCCAGGACACAACGAATGAGCCTGAAGATACCACTAAGATCGACGATGCTACGACTGTTCCAGAAGAAACTACTACAGCTGGATCTGGGGATGGTACTACCGTAGAAGATTCGACTCCCATTCCCAACGAAACTACAACAGCTGCCCAGGACACAACGAATGAGCCTGAAGATACCACTAAGATCGACGATGCTACGACTGTTCCAGAAGAAACTACTACAGCTGGATCTGGGGATGGTACTACCGTAGAAGATTCGACTCCCATTCCCAACGAAACTACAACAGCTGCCCAGGACACAACGAATGAGCCTGAAGATACCACTAAGATCGACGATGCTACGACTGTTCCAGAAGAAACTTCTACAGCTGGATCTGGGGATGGTACTACCGTAGAAAATACAACAGCTGCCCAGGACACAACGAATGAGCCTGAAGATACCACTAAGATCGACGATGCTACGACTGTTCCAGAAGAAACTACTACAGCTGGATCTGGGGATGGTACTACCGTAGAAGATTCAACTTCCATTCCCAACGAAACTACAACAGCTGCCCAGGACACCACGAATGAGCCTGAAGATACCACTAAGATCGACGATGCTACGACTGTTCCAGAAGAAACTTCTACAGCTGGATCTGGGGATGGTATTACCGTAGAAGATTCAACTCCCATTCCCAAAAACTACAACAGCTGCCCAGGACACCAACGAATGAGCCTGAAGATACCACTAAGATCGACGATGCTACGACTGTTCCAGAAGAAACTACTACAGCTGGATCTGGGGATGGTACTACCGTAGAAGATTCAACTCCCATTCCCAACGAAACTACAACAGCTGCCCAGGACACCACGAATGAGCCTGAAGATACCACTAAGATCGACGATGCTACGACTCTTCCAGACGAAACCTCTACAGCTGGATCTGGAGATGGTACTACGGTAGAAGATTCAACTTCCATTCCCAACGAAACTACAACAGCTGCCCAGGACACCACGAATGAGCCTGAAGATACCACTAAGATCGACGATGCTACGACTGTTCCAGAAGAAACTACTACAGCTGGATCTGGGGATGGTACTACCGTAGAAGATTCAACACCCATTCCCGACGAAACTACAACAGCTGCCCAGGACACCACGAATGAGCCTGAAGATACCACTAAGATCGACGATGCTACGACTGTTCCAGAAGAAACTACTACAGCTGGATCTGGGGATGGTACTACCGTAGAAGATTCAACACCCATTCCCGACGAAACTACAACAGCTGCCCAGGACACAACGAATGAGCCTGAAGATACCACTAAGATCGACGATGCTACGTCTGTTCCAGAAGAAACTTCTACAGCTGCCCAGGACACAACGAATGAGCCTGAAGATACCACTAAGATCGACGATGCTACGACTGTTCCAGAAGAAACTACTACAGCTGGATCTGGGGATGGTACTACCGTAGAAGATTCAACACCCATTCCCGACGAAACTACAACAGCTGCCCAGGACACAACGAATGAGCCTGAAGATACCACTAAGATCGACGAAGCTACGACTCTTCCAGACGAAACTACTACAGCTGGATCTGGGGATGGTACGACCGTAGAAGATTCAACTCCCATTCCCAATGAAACTACAACAGCTGCCCAGGACACAACGAATGAGCCTGAAGATACCACTAAGATCGACGATGCTACGACTCTTCCAGACGAAACCTCTACAGCTGGATCTGGGGATGCTACTACCGTAGAAACTACAACAGCTGCCCAGGACACAACGAATGAGCCTGAAGATACCACTAAGATCGACGATGCTACGACTGTTCCAGAAGAAACTACTACAGCTGGATCTGGGGATGGTACTACCGTAGAAGATTCAACTCCCATTCCCAGCGAAACTACAACAGCTGCCCAGGACACAACGAATGAGCCTGAAGATACCACTAAGATCGACGATGCTACGACTGTTCCAGAAGAAACTACAACAGCTGGATCTGGGGATGGTACTACCGTAGAAGATTCAACGAAGATTCAACTCCCATTCCCAGCGAAACTACAACAGCTGCCCAGGACACAACGAATGAGCCTGAAGATACCACTAAGATCGACGATGCTACGACTGTTCCAGAAGAAACTACAACAGCTGGATCTGGGGATGGTACTACCGTAGAAAATACAACAGCTGCCCAGGACACAACGAATGAGCCTGAAGATACCACTAAGATCGACGATGCTACGACTGTTCCAGAAGAAACTACTACAGCTGGATCTGGGGATGGTACTACCGTAGAAGATTCAACTCCCATTCCCAGCGAAACTACAACAGCTGCCCAGGACACCACGAATGAGCCTGAAGATACCACTAAGATCGACGATGCTACGACTGTTCCAGAAGAAACTACTACAGCTGGATCTGGGGATGGTACTACCGTAGAAGATTCAACTCCCATTCCCAACGAAACTACAACAGCTGCCCAGGACACAACGAATGAGCCTGAAGATACCACTAAGATCGACGATGCTACGACTGTTCCAGAAGAAACTACTACAGCTGGATCTGGGGATGGTACTACCGTAGAAGATTCGACTCCCATTCCCAACGAAACTACAACAGCTGCCCAGGACACAACGAATGAGCCTGAAGATACCACTAAGATCGACGATGCTACGACTCTTCCAGACGAAACCACTACAGCTGGATCTGGGGATGGTACTACCGTAGAAGATTCAACTCCCATTCCCAACGAAACTACAACAGCTGCCCAGGACACAACGAATGAGCCTGAAGATACCACTAAGATCGACGATGCTACGACTGTTCCAGAAGAAACTACTACAGCTGGATCTGGGGATGGTACTACCGTAGAAGATTCAACTCCCATTCCCAACGAAACTACAACAGCTGCCCAGGACACAACGAATGAGCCTGAAGATACCACTAAGATCGACGATGCTACGACTGTTCCAGAAGAAACTTCTACAGCTGGATCTGGGGATGGTACTACCGTAGAAGATTCAACTCCCATTCCCAGCGAAACTACAACAGCTGCCCAGGACACCACGAATGAGCCTGAAGATGCTACGACTCTTCCAAACGAAACTACTACAACAGGATCTGGGGATGGTACTACCGTAGAAGATTCAACTCCCATTCCCAACGAAACTACAACAGCTGCCCAGGACACAACGAATGAGCCTGAAGATACCACTAAGATCGACGATGCTACGACTCTTCCAGAAGAAACTACTACTGCTGGATCTGGGGATGGTACTACCGTAGAAGATTCAACTCCCATTTCCGACGAAACTACAACAGCTGCCCAGGACACAACGAATAAGCCTGAAGATACCACTAAGATCGACGAAGCTACGACTCTTCCAGACGAATCTACCACACCAGGATCTGGGGATGACTCTTCAACTGTTCCAAACGAAACTTCTACAGCTACACCCAAAGACAGCACAACGACATCTGAAGGAAGTACTACTATTAGTCAGACTACGACTAATACTCCGGAAGACAGCTCAACGGTAGACAGTTCTACAAAACATCCTGTTGAAAGCAGCACTTCTGGACAAGATACCACTAAAAAGCCGGAAGAAAATACTACTCCCGGACTGGATCCTACATACAAACCTGGAGAAAGTACCACAGTAGAGGATTCCACGTCGACTCCAGATACAAGTAGTTCGACACCGTCTATTCCGAGTTCACCAAGCACTGGAATCTCAACAACTTCTATTCCTGACGTTACCACTTCAACTTTATCACCGCCGGATTGCAGTAGCGGCGCTGAATATTTACCCCATCAAACAAATTGCCAACAATTTATTCACTGTAGTAATGGAATCCCGTATATAAAGAATTGTCCACCTACTCTTTATTGGGACTACCAGAACTTATACTGCAGTCTAGATGCAAATGTTTGCTACAACGATGAAGAAAATAAGAGACCTGAGGAAAAAGTTTGCGGCCCCGGTGATGATTATCTTGCACACCCAAGCGACTGTACAAAATTTATTCAATGTGGTAACGGACAGGCATTTGAGAAAAAATGTCCCGATACTCTCTATTGGAACCAGGCCATAAAAAGCTGTGATTGGTCAAATGTGAACTGCAAATAAGTACGAGCCAAAGAGTCGAAGGTTTTCACATAAGAGTAAGTTTTATTTTATTATCATAAATGATTTAATACTCATGTATTCCTCACAAAATCGTTGCAGGTGCATTCTTCGTTAGACCTTCCATAGAAAATATTAAGTCCTTGGAATTAATAAAAAGATATGTGAAATAAATAGTATGGTTATTATAAATGTATTTATTCTTTTAGGATTACGTTCTGTTTATAAATCAAATTATTTAAACGCTTTAAAAAAACACGAAGACATTTGATGTAGCAAATAAAAAAAAACACACAAATGCAGAATCGTTTCAATTTCATTATGTTTTTTAAGATGTTCTAAATAGATTTGCTTTTTGGATGCATGCAAATTTATTTCCATAGGCTTAGGCGCTTTGGTACTTTATAATACCCTATTAACGGAGAAATAAAAGGTATTCGCCAATTAACAAAAAGGCGTCACAAAATATGAGACAAAACTCTTTTTACCTTAAAAGAGGATACAAGAAAAATATTATTTATTTTTAATATAGTGATAAATACATGGTATGCCTAACCAGTGGGTATTTTTTAGCCCTAAATACTTGTTTCTTAAAAACTATTAGGCTTTTTTGTAGATCTTATCAATCTAGGTTTCAATTAAAAATATTACTAGCCTTGAAACACACCCCATACAGACGATGGGCCTTAAAAAATGAAAATTTAACGCATGAGTTCAATTTAAACACATGGCTTCATAGAAGCTTTCAGCAGATAAGGCAATATAGCCGAACCGAACTCAACATTGAATGGGGGCTTGTAGAAGCTGCTCTATATATAGATATGACGATGGACAGTCTAACCAGAATGCTAGAGCAAATTTTTGGTCTCAAAGGTTATCAAAGTAAATTACTTCCGCCAATTTTTGATTTGTGAAAACAAATAAGTGGCTTGGGAAATCGAAACCAAAATGGATTAGCCAGTTCACCAGACGCAAAGAGCCCACAGCAAGCCGAGCAAATGAGTCGGGGGCAGGGACACACTTGAAAATGGAGCCAAGAGACGACATACAATTGCGTATCTTTATATGCTAATAAATGCCAGCACATTTCCTTAAAATGGGTCAAAAGAGTCCCCCATCCGTTGGCGAAGACTGCGATGTTGTAATGCCCCCAGAAACTCATTTGTCGAAGGGGACGTCAGCGCGACCAAGTGATCGATTGACACGATCAAAGCGCTGATACGTAATGGAATAGACACTCGAATGAATGGCACTGGCGACGAGCTCCCAGCTCCAAGCTCGGTGCTCTAAGTGCCCCGATCCGCCTCACAGATACCAGCACTCTGTGCTGGTGTGAATCCTACATAAATATTCATGCTGCTGCCGGCTAAATGCAAATGTATTGGAAATTGCTCGCCTTCAATGGATTTGAGTTCTGAGTTCTGCTCAAGCTCTAGAGTTTTGATGCGCGGACAGTCCAACGTTATTCGCAATCCAGCAGTTGTCGCGATCGGAAGCAAATCGGAAAATCTCCCTGGGAATCCTAAAGCACACAGGCGAAGAAGTATGTGAAAGGACTCAACCGAACAACACCCCCTAGATTTGTGGATAAAGGATCAAAAAGAATTAAACTTAAATATCCAACACCCTCAGAGAGTATCTACAATTTGAACTGTGAACTGCTCGAAAAGCTACAACGCGTTTTATATAATTTAAATTGTTGCTTAAAATGTTGTGAAGTGAACTTTTAAATAAGTTTAAAAAGCCTATCAATAATTTAATATAAGAAAATAACCAAAAATCAAGAAAGTTACACGGAGCAAATATAAATTATTTCTTTAAAACAGTCATTAGGATAATAAGCACGCCAAGGACGAATAAGTTTTATTTTTAAAAACTAGTCAGTTTAATTTTGAAAAAAAATGTGTTAAACCCCAAAAAGTGTAAATTACTAAAAATAGAAGCAAGGACAATTTCCATTTGATCTTGTTGCCAAGCAAAGGTTCAAGGACGGAAGCGCTTATTTTCGAAAATAATAATAAAAAACTAATCAGTTCAAGTGATTACATCATTTCTAAAACTGAAATACAACTCAAGATCGATTGCTTTTTTGGCATCTAACAGCATCGTGCGTGCTCATTTGAAAGAAAAGTGATAACCCCTGAAAGTGACAGACAAGAAAACAGAGAGAAGGAGTATAAACTAATAATAACACGCATGTATATAATGTGTTGATAATACAATTTAATTTCATCCTACAGTTTGCTGGTTGTGTTGCGACGACGTCGACTCATTTCAATTGGATTCAGAGTTTAATTTATTGAAATGTTGCCCTTTCGCTTGGGCCTGCTACTTGGCGCTCTGCTTTTCGTGGCAAGCGCAAATGGAGCTGCCATCGTAAGTTTTCTAGTTCTCAATGAACACCAAGAATTTGCGCCCGTGTGTTTGCCTGTGTGGCTGCCTGAATGGAACTAGAGTAGTTCAATGTAAATGAACCCGGTTCGAATAGAAGGCGATAAGACCTAATTTGACCAAGGTCAGTTTCAAAAGCAGCATCAAATTGGGGACACTTGCAGACACATGTCGCGTGCTTAACGATTGGACTGACATTAGCATTGAACTTAAATCGTTTCAATAACTTTTAGGAAAATGTGCTAGCAAATGAGGATGAGGCTTCAGGCCTGATTGACTTGCAGAGGGAGAAAAGAAGCGGCAGAGGCTAGTAAGTAGTTTTGTGAATATTTGTGGGACTCGAAAAGTAAAAACAATCCAAACCAGTTCAAGGGGACAAACGCAGTCTCAGTACTTAAATTTCGGTAAACCCGAACAGGATGGAAAGGCCGAGGCGGAGGCCAATGAAAGTGGTTCGCGCTCAACTGTCTGTAAGTCTGGTGATCAAAGGCTTCTGTAATCAACCTATTAATCAACCTCAAACTCTTTCAGCTGGCACTCATGGAATGGGTCAGGCCCAGAGTCAGTTCTCATCCGGAGACTGCAACGGATGTGCTGGCTACCAAACGGAATACCCTTCCTCCGGAAGAATTCTGGATGCTAGCGGTTCCGGTGGAGACGGCCGACCCGGTTCTATTATCAGCTTACCCGGTTCAGGTAAGATGGTAACAGCTATTTTATGATTAATACCAAAGCATGCAAATAACTGTTGACCGTTTTTTCCTTACGCTCTACTCCCGAGAACAACCGAAAAATAGCATGTCCCTTCGTTCTCTCTCTGCGCAGCAGACTTCGTTTCCTTTCGTTTTGGTTTTCTGTTGAACCCGTTACGTTGAGCTGTTCGTGAGACGCTCTGTTACGAACATCGTTCAATGAGAGATACGAATGTCGCTCGCTCAGGGAGACTTATTAAAAGACCGATTGACTGAAAAAGCCATCCCATGCATGTGTGTGTGCATAGTTGATGGTTCGGCTTTTAGTCTGTTGGCGTGCTTGGGCGATATCTCCCTTTCACTCGCACTTACTATCAGTGTAGGTAACAGTTTACTACCGAAGGGAATACCTTGTAAAATTGAACTATGCACATACACATGCGCAAAAGACTTTTTGAATCGTCGTTCAAGAGCAATCGGTCTGTAAGCGAGCCGAGCAAAAGAAAGCCGAAAAAACTGCTCGTCGGCTGAGTGCTAGCAAAATTTTTATACGAACAATTTAATCGGTTGCTCTCTGATTTATTGCTCAAAGTCGGAGAGAAAAACAGTTATTTGCGAGCTATGATTAATACTTATCTTAATCCTATTTCGAACACAGGTACCCAAGGAGGATTGGGTGGGCAAGCAGGAATCGGTGGTCAACCAGGAATCGGTGGACAGCCAGGAATTGGTGGACAGCCCGGAATTGGTGGACAAACAGGACTCGGCGGAAGACAACCAGGATTTGGAACACAACCAGGAGTTGGAGGGTCAACAGATGTACAGCCTGGTGATGGAAGCCTATCTGGACCTGGCGCACAGATAGGTGTCGGAGGTGGGCAACCTGGATATGGAGGTCAGCCTGGATACGGAGCTCAGCCAGGAGCTGGAGGACAAGTTGGTGCTGGACAACCCGGATATGGAACTCAACCTGGAGTTGGTGGACAGCCAGGAATAAGCAGTGGCCAGCCTGGACAACAAGGAGTAGGTGGAGTAGGAGGTTCCCCGGGATATGGCACACAGCCAGGAGGTGGAGGAAGCCAACCCGGAATTAGTGGAACTCCAGGAGCAGGAGCTCAACCTGGAATAGGTGGACAATATGGAAATCAACCTGGTGCTGGTGGACAGACAGGTGTCGGTGGTACACAACCTGGTGTTGGTGGACAGACAGGTGTCGGAGGTGGACAACCAGGATACGGAACTCAGCCAGGTGCTGGTGGACAGCCAGGAACCGGACAACAACAGCCCGGATATGGTCAGCCTGGCATTGGTGGACAGACAGGATATGGAACACAGCCAGGAGCAGGCGGACAGGCAGGTGTCGGAAGCGGACAACCAGGATACGGAACTCAGCCAGGTCAACAAGGCTATGGAACTCAACCAGGTGTTGGTGGACAGACAGGTGTCGGTGGCGGACAACCAGGATTCGGAACTCAGCCAGGAGTTGGTGGACAGCCAGGAAGCGGACAACCCGGATACGGTACTCAGCCTGGAGTTGGCGGACAGACAGGATATGGAACTCAGCCAGGTCAACAGGGCTATGGAACTCAGCCTGGAGTTGGTGGACAGACAGGATATGGAACTCAGCCAGGAGCAGGAGGACAGACAGGTGTCGGAAGCGGACAGCCAGGATACGGAACTCAACCTGGTGCTGGTGGACAGACAGGAGTTGGTGGATCGCAAGGATACGGAGGTCAGCCTGGAGTTAGTGGATCTCCTGGTTACGGATCTCAACCTGGACTTGGTGGACAGTCAGGAGTCAGTGGAGGACAACCTGGATATGGATCTCAGCCAGGAGTTGGAGGACAATCTGGATATGGACAACCAGGAGTTGGGCAATCAGGAATTGGTGGCCCTCAGCCAGGATACGGAGGACAGACAGGAGCAGGAGTTGGTCAACCCGGACAGACTGGAATTGGTGGCCCACAGGCCGGATTTTTAACTCAACCAGGATATGGAACTATCAGTGGACAGCCTGGATTTGGACAGCCCGGATACGGAAGCCAGAGTGGCGTAAGCGGATCGCCAGGATATGGAACTCAGCCAGGCTATGGAACTCAGTCAGGATTTGGAGGACAACCTGGATATGGAAGTCAACCAGGTGAGTTTTGTTAAGTTTTACTTAATTTAATTACCTAATTTAAAGCAATTACTTGTCATTTGTCAGTTATCAACTGCATATGGAAGGCGACAACCACTTTTTTAAAAAGTTGAGAAGCCGGAAAAAAATAGTTATACCCGTTACTCGTAGAGTAAGCGTTTCCGACCCTATAATGTATATATATTCTTGATCAGGGTCCCTAGCCGAGTCGATATAGCCATGTCCGTCTGTCTGTCCGTATGAACGCTGAGATCTCGGAAACTACAAAAGCTAGAAGGTTGAGATTTCCCACACATATTCTTGGGCTTCCTACGCAGCGCAAGTTTATTTCAGCCGAGCGCCACGCCCCCTCTTACACCCACAATCGCCCACTAACGATTTTAAAACTTGTCTGGCGCCCACACTTTTAAAGATTTCCAAGAAGTATAAATGCAATTTTGTTGTATTTATTTATACCTATCGAAATGTAGAAGACATTTTTCAAATCGGACTATTCATTAAAAAGTTATACGCATTCAAAATTGTTAATATATATCTATCTCCCTCGCACTCCCTTTAGCTGAGTGACGGGTATTAGATAGTCGGGACACCAACCCAAATACAGCGTTCGCACTCCCTTTAGCTGAGTGACGGGTATTAGATAGTCGGGACACCAACCGGAATATAGCGTTCTCTCTTGATTTTTAAATAAAATACCTTGGAATTGAGTCTCCTTAGAGATTTTTTTCTCAAAAAACGGGGACAAATCCCCCATTGAGCTAACCTTTGCGGTCAGAACAGAACAGAACGTGATGGCTGCGGCCGTGAAATTCTAATCCTCTTTACACTTACATTCGCTAAACAGGGACAGTGGGGCAAATACTATCAATTTTCTGGGCTTTCATTTTATCAAATAAAAGGGAATAATATATTTTGTTCGAGAAATATCACTCACCAAGACTGGGGGATCCATCGACGAAAGCGCTTCCGTGAGGAGGTCCTGAAACGCTGTAAAAAGGATTCTATTATGTTTTTACACTTTATTTCACATAAAAAAATTGTCCCGAGTCGCCGGGCAGAAAATCACTCAAAACGAATAAAAAAAAATCAAACCTTCTCCGTTCTGCCTTATTGCCCTCTTTCATCATCGTTATTTCTTTCGCACAACTAGGATATGGCACACAGCCAGGAGTTGGTGGAACTCAGCCCGGATACGGAACTCAGCCTGGACAAGGTGGACAACCAGGCTATGGAACTCAACCTGGAGTTGGACAATCATTAATAAGCGGTGGACAGCCTGGACAACAAGGAGTAGGTGGCGTCCAACCAGGATACGAAACCGGAAGCCAACCTGGAGTAGGAGGACAACCAGGATATGGATCTCAGCAGGGAGTTGGAGGACTACAAGGAGTTGGTGGTGGCCAATACGGAAGTCAACCAGGAACTGGTGTTGCTCAGCCCGGATTCGGAAGAGGAACTCAAGCCGGAACTATAGGACAACAGCCCGGATATGGACCGCAATCTGGTGTTGGTGGACAGACAGGATACGGAACTCAGCCGGGAGTAGGCGGACCATCAGGATATGGAACGCAGCCTGGACAGACGGGAGTCAGTGGCGGACAACCAGGATACGGTACTCAGCCAGGTCAACAGGGCTATGGAACTCAACCAGGTGTTGGTGGACAGGCAGGTGTTGGTGGTACACAACCTGGAGCAGGTGGATTGCCAGGATATGGAACTCAACCAGGTGTTGGTGGACAGACAGGATATGGAACACAGCCAGGTGCAGGTGGACAGGCCGGAAGCGGACAACCGGGATACGGAAGTCAGCCTGGCGGACAGACAGGATATGGAACTCAACCTGGTGCTGGTGGACAGGCAGGTGTTGGTGGTACACAACCTGGAGCAGGTGGATTGCCAGGATATGGAGCTCAACCTGGTGTTGGTGGACAACCAGGATACGGTACTCAGCCAGGTCAACAGGGCTATGGAACTCAACCAGGTGTTGGTGGCGGACAGCCAGGATTCGGAACTCAGCCAGGTGTTGGTGGACAGACAGGATATGGAACACAGCCAGGAGCAGGCGGACAGGCAGGTGTCGGAAGCGGACAACCAGGATATGGTACTCAGCCTGGAGTAGGTGGATTGCCAGGATATGGTACACAACCTGGTGTTGGTGGACAGACAGGAATCGGTGGCGGACAACCGGGATATGGAACTCAGCCAGGTGTTGGTGGACAGACAGGATATGGAACTCAGCCAGGTCAACCAGGCTATGGAACTCAACCAGGAGCAGGTGGACAGGCAGGTGTCGGTGGTACACAACCTGGAGTAGGTGGATTACCAGGATATGGTACTCAACCTGGTGTTGGTGGACAGACAGGAGTTGGTGGCGGACAACCGGGATATGGAACTCAACCTGGTGCAGGTGGACAGCCAGGTGTCGGAGGTGGACAACCGGGAGTAGGTGGATCTCCAGGATACGGAATTCAGCCAGGTGCTGGTGGACAGCCAGGAAGCGGACAACCGGGATACGGAGTTCAGCCTGGACTTGGTGGAACGACTGGCGCAGGAGTGGGTCAACTAGGACCTTCTACCCGGTACACAGATGGCACCGGAGTTGCTCCTGGTGGTGTTGGAGGCGCTGGTGCAGTTGGTAAGTAGCTAGCAAAGTGTGAAGGTCTTGGCCAACAGTTATAAAAAATTGAATTTTCAGTTCCTGCCGGCGGCACTGGTGGAGCTGACGACGCCTACTCCCAAGCGGAGTCGACTATTGGCGACGGACAGGCATCGGCAAGTGCCCAGGGCAAGAAGAATGGAGGCACGGCCAAGACCCAGGTGTCCGGAACCTACAGCTCGGGCGGAACCTTCAGTGCCAGTGCGATGACCTCGGATGCGGATCGGGCGGCCAGTGCCCAGGTGACCGGGAATGCTGATGGTGCCGTGAGTCAGTCGCAGGGATCGGGAGGTCCTGCCCAGTCGCAGGCCCAGGTGCAGGTGGCCAAGGACGGCGGCACCAAGGCCTCGTCGCAGAGCGGAGGCATCATCCAGCAAAGCCAGAGCGAGGTGCATGCCAATGACAAGGGCGGCCTGGCGGACGCCCAGTCGAGTGGACCGGGACAAACGTCATCCCAGGCTCAGATCGGTTTCCGACCCGGCCAGGAAACCAATCCCCCAGCGGCCAATGGCGGCGGCCAGGCCTCGTCCTCATCGGGCACCCACTCCAGTCAGAGTAGCTCGCAGATTCACGGAACCTCCAGGTACTGTACTACTTACATTGGTGGTTTTGAGAAGGGTCTTTAAATAGGATTTGAATTTCAGCTTTGGCGTTTCGTACCATGGAGCTGCCCAGTCGGCGTCGGGAACCAAGGAGCAGGTGGCCACCTACAGGGAACAAAATCGGGAGCTCTTCAACACCATCAGTCAGTTTGGCAACAATGGCAATGCGTGAGTAATTTCCCAAGATTGTAAATATAAATAAATCAATATAGGAGACTATACCCTTTAGGGGAAAACATTTTTAAAATATGTTTGAATATTTTTTGAACAAGTATGTGTTTGTTTTTCTAGTTTTTAATTTTTCTTTAAGCAAGTAATTTTTATTCTGATAATATCACTGTCAAACCTTTTAGCTTCTTATGGGTAAACAAAGCTTATTTATATTTTTATAATTTGTAAGTGAATAAATCTTAAAAAACAACTAAAAACTTCTTATTTTAAAGAGGAATATGTGTTCTTGTAAGTTTTTCTTGTTTTCTATATGTGACACGTGTTCTGAAGCAGTAATGCTTTATTGTTTTGTTGTTTCAATATTGTGTTACAAGTTATACAAAATTGTTAATCGCCATTCTGTTATGTATTTCATGTTATTTGTTCATATTTGCACTTTACGTTTTATAGCCATTAAATTGGTTGATCAATGTAATAAATTCTAGGTGCTCTAACTAAAAAAAAAAAAAAAAAAAAAATTTAATTTTATTTTTTCATATTTTTCTTTAATTTTCAGAGTTACTGATCGCGCTGATTCTGTCTACAGTGGACCTGCGCTCACCGATGAATCCGACCGGGTGCCAGAAGCCCAGCTGAAATCGAACAAACCAAAGGAGGAGGCTGAGCAGGCGCAGAGGAAGCCGGACCAGCCGGAGCCCGTTCAGTACGAGGACGAGGACGAAACCGATCCCGATGAATACGATGAGGATGAGTACTACAACGAGAAGCCGGTCAAGCTAGAGGAGAGCCCCAAGTCGGCGAGCATTGTCAAGCAACCGGAGCCAACTGCAAAGCCTCTGGCCTACCAACAGTCGTCGCCCTCGCAAAGTCAAAAGGCCGTCGTGGTTCCCGGAACAGGTGATAAGTTTCAATTAGTTCAAAAGCAGAACGGTAAGACCGTTACCCATACCGAAGCCTCGACCACCGAGGCCGTACCACCGGGATTCCGAGGCACCGTCAATGTGGAGAAGAAGTTCCACACCAAGGCCCTGGAGCTGCGCACTCCCAAGGCGGTGGAGATCACTCCCGATACGAACGAAGCGGGCCCGGTTCGAGGTGACAAGCCGATTCTACGGGCTCCCGACAGCTATGTCACCGTCACCAAGTCGGTGACCGGCAGCATGGACAACAGCAAGAATCCCCCGCAGGAGAACAAGAACTTCCAGTCGACTTACTATACCAAGTCCTCGACCTGTGGCTACTTCACCTTCTCGTGCAACATCGTCTACGGTGCCAACGGAAGGAGCAAAATCTGCCGGCCCAAGGCGCCCACCAATGGCAAATGCTAAGGGAACACTTTATAAATCCTCTAACGCCAACCCTATTATAGTAGATCAGTTCCAAAGGGGCTCAATTGTAGAAGAGCTTAGCCAAGTGCCACCTACAAACACCTATTTGTATTTTGATGCAGCTTGATCCTAAGCATTTAAGTGTTTTTTCGCAAGTAATTCTAGAGTTTCACTGCCATATCTTAAATATTCGTACGATTTGCAACTGTAATTAATATTTAATAACAAATCACAAAAAAACAGAGTTCGAGTTTAATTTCTTTATTTCGATCTGGTATTCTCGGAACATTAAACACATGTTTTATCGCAGGTAAGTAGGTGGGAGTTCCAAAAGAGGTACTGCGGACAGGTCTTCACAAAGGGCAGATAATCGCACTGGATGAAGCGGGTGCAGTCACCCGGGTAAGCAATCAGCTGGCCGAGCTTTTTGTCACAAACTTCGGAAAGATTAAAATGTTCTGGTACTTTGAACGTCCGCCGGAATGGGTTTACTCCAATTCGGCAGCGGATTGATGGAGGAACAGCCAGCGGTGGCCTGCAGATCGCATCGTTGGAGCTGCGAGTTCCAATGAAATCCCGGAGGACAGCTCAGTAAACGGGTCTCATGGAATCGATAGCAGTCGTTAGGAATGGACTCTCTAACCACAGTTTGTGCCAGGCAAAATCCAGAAAACAACGCACATAGTGAGATGGTCAGCAAATATTGGTTTACCACTGATAAATATCATGAATGTTAAATTGATAGTATCAAATTGAAAAAATAAAAAATATTATTCTTACTTTTTATTATTCCTCGCAAAGTCCCTCGATCATTTGAGATACGCACACCAATCGTCTAGGGGTTTTTATATCGTTGCTAAGAAAATACGCACTATTGACAAATTGATAACACGTCCAACGTTTCAGTAGCCTTTTTGTTATTGGCTTTTCATATCGCATCTGTCCTTGAAACACGATAAGCTTGTCCGGTCAAGTGGTAGAGAAATTAACGCATAAGATTAATAAGAACTCCAAAGTACTGGATCCCCATTTAAATATAAACTAATTTTCAACATTATAATAAACAATTTTTATTACTCTAGTTGAAATTATTTGATTTTCAAAATATAAATAAAATAATAAATAAAACTTTATTAAGTAAATAAAATACTAATATTGGCAGAAAGAATTTTATTTGTAAGCGTGTTTTATCTTTGCTTAAGCAAGAATGTTTTAAGATAAATACAAGTTAAGTACTTCAACTTGATAAAGATTCTCATCATATTGTAGTATAAAAGGGCCGGAACCACCTAGGCAGAACATTCACTTTTTCAGAGCGCTTTCACTGGATTAAATCAGAAGTAAGACAAGTGCGAAAAATATTTAAATTTTAAGCATTCTTAAATCCAACTTTTCTTAGTGTGGCAAGGATCTGCTTTTGTCTACCTAGCCTTAGTGGCCTCATTGTCCTTGGCTAATAGTGAGGAGTACAACAGTGGTGTGGTAAGTATTTCAACAGATCAAAATGGACAAAAGCTAATAAAATGATGTACTAACCAGCCCATCGTAGCTCAGCCCGCAATTCCGATGGAACAATGCCCACCGTACGACGATCCCAACCATGTTGTGATGTTGCCTTTTCCCAACGACTGTAGCAAGTATTACACCTGCCAAAGGGGACAGGCCTATGAGCACAAGTGTCCTGCGAACCTGTACTGGAGCCAGATGACCTATCGATGTGACTACAGAGAGTACTCCAACTGCAATTCAGACAATCGACCAAGTCCCGGAGATGAAGTGAAGTACAGCCCCTTTCCCGGCGACTGCAGTCGGTTCTACGAGACCCGTGTCCTTCGCTGTGAGCAAAACCATCAGTGGAGTTCTCTCTATCAGCGCTGCGTAGCCCCACAGTATGCAGATTGTCAGGCGGACTATCCAGGACTTCCCTACGATCCGATACCCACTGCTGCCACCCCGCCATCTGCAACTGCGACTCCACCGACGACGTCTAGTTACCTACCCATTGATGTGGCATCTTTGTGCCAAAACAGTGTTTCCAATGCCTACATTCCGTATCCCGAGGACTGCCACAAGTTCATCCATTGCGGACCAACTGCCACGGTTCTCACATGCCCGGGCAACTTGTATTGGAATCCAGGCCAACTTTCCTGCGCTCCATCCAATCCTGGTTGCACCCAGTATGCTTAACCAAAAATCACCCAGCGAAAGCTATGAAGTTACAACATTTTAATAATTATTTCAAAAGATATTTTGCATTAAAAATCTATAACAAAACTGGCAATCGCTTTGAAGGACTGCCAAAGGGAAAGACTTGAAACATTGCAGCCCGCCAGCTGAGGTTCCATGCAGTTGAGAACCGTGGGACTGAACTCCTGATCCTCTGGACAGGCATAACCGACTGGGATGGGATCCTGACAAACTATATACTTGCTGCAGTTCCTGGGATAGGGAACCAGTGATCCATCAGCTTTCTCCGCACAAAGGCCGTCCGGTGAAGGTGTTGTTATAGGGGTGGTCGTGGTGCTGGGTATGCCAGGGGTAGTAGTAGCTGGAATAGAACAGTTAGCATACCACGGAGCCATGCATCTTTCCAGGGAGGCACTGAACTCCTGACCCTCGCGGCAATTATACACAATAGGGTTGGGTTCAATGCACTGTATAAACTTGGTGCAGTCCTCCGGATAGGGAACCAGTTTGCCCTCTGGAACTCCTTCACAGGGATCTGTATTCGGCCTTGGCGTACTCGGGGTTATAATCGGAGTTGTGGTTTCTTCCGTGGTCTCTGTAACCACAGTGGTGTAGATTTCCCGACAGGCTTCCGGAGAGACATTCGCCCCACATTTGCCAGTCCAGGGATCGAAAAATTGCCCACTGCCACATATGCCCATCATGTACGAGGAGTCGTCTGTGCATCGTATAAACCATTGACAATTTTCTTGGTAGGGCAAATTATTACCGGTATTATTGAAGCAGATTGAAGAAACTGGATTCGGCGTCGTAAGTCCAGGCGATGAAGTGGTCGTATCTTCCGCTGGACAATCGCTTAGTTCCCATTCAACGCACTTCTGATTAGCCTCGTTGAAGAACAAGTTCTCCGGACAGTAAAAAGCTATGGGAACGGGACTGGCACACACTATATACTTCCCGCAGTCCTCTGGATACTGCGCGTAATATCCATCAGTCTGTCCAAAACAAATGCCTGAGATATCCGGAGAAGTAGTGGTTGTAATTTCCGTGGGTTCAGAAGTAGATAAAGTGGGCGAAGGTGTTGTGAGTGGAGTGGTGGCCTGACTTGTGGTGGTTTCAGTGGTAACTTCCGTTTTCTTTACACGCTGTCGGATTCACTTCAGGTCCACAATTGCCTGTCTTGGGATCATACCAAGCGTTATAAATGCAATTGGCCACGTTGGACTCTCCGTTTCCCATGCACAGAATATACTGTTGGCAATTCGTTACCAGGGGATAAGAGACCCCCAATTCCTGATCAGCACAGGGATTATTCGTACCCTGAGTTGTGGGTGCATTCGTGGTAGTTGCCAACGATTCACGGCAAGCGGTGGGCGATACATTTGGCCCACAATCCCCGGTTTTTGGATCGAACCAGGCATTCGTTGGACACTTTGCCGTAGTCGATTGGCCATTATTAAGGCATAAAAGGTATGACTGGCAGTCGGTGGGCAAGGGAAAGCTGGTCCCCAGTTGTTGATCAGCACAGGGATTTACTTCATAGCCTTCCGTTGATGTTGGCTCAACGGTTGTTGATGGTAAGGTTGTCGTTACAATGGGAGTAGGAGTGGGTACAACTTCTCGGCAAGCTTCTGGTGAAATATCGGGTCCGCAATTGCCGCTGAGCGGATTGAACCAATTGTCAACGGGACAGGGAAGAACTATGTAGGAATTGTTGCCCCAGCAGTAGTAGTATTGCTGGCAATTTTGGGTATCCGGAAAGGAGGTTCCTTGCTTTTGGCCCTCGCACTTCGTGAAGGACGACTCCTCAGTAGTCGGTGTGGTTTCTAGCGGATATTCAGTAGTACGATCGCCGTAGCACAACACATTGTCCTTAGTGTCACAAATCTTTAAATCCGGATTGAAAAGCAACTCGACGGGGCATTGATATACTTGACTTTGCTCATTCACGCACACGTAGAACTCATTGCAATGCTCAGCTGAAGGCAGTAAAGTGTTGTTTGGAAAGCTTTCACAAGGATTTTCCGCAAATGGAGGTTTTGGATATGGCAATGGATCGCAGTCCACGGCTTCTGGGGTATCGCAAATGTGCAGAGGACTGTTGAAAAGTTTACCACCAGGGCAGTACTCTAAGTCAGCGCATGAATCATCGCATGATACATATGCGCTGCAGTCATAGGGATATTTATAAAATCCATTCGATAAGGATTGGCAAAAGGAGGCATCCGTTCCTGGAGAAGTGGGACAATCTTGAGACTTGTATTCAAAAACTGCATATTTCGTTTTTAGATCTCGACTCAATGTGGTTTCTACTCTACCGTTACAGATATTTACTCCCAAAAGCCAAACAATAAATTGGGAAAACAGCACACGCTACGAATAAATAAATTTACAAATAAATTCACTATGCATTTTAATCGCAATTCTGTAGACCTATCACCTTTCATTGTGGCCACTTGGTTAAGTATAATATTTCTTGAAAACTATTTCTTGTACTGATGCTTACATCCCCACGTCTTGAAATCAACTGAAATGGGATTTCGTTTTTGGCAATTTCTAAGCAATAGCTGATAGCGGGTTACCAATCAAATCAACGTTAATATTTTTCCATTGATAATGACTAATATGATTGATAACATTCCTTTGGAAGCTTTGAGAAGGAACAAACACACATATTGGTCAAGAAAATAGACAACAACTTATTAATAATGAGCGATGATAAACATCTGTCCACTCTTGTTTTCGTTTCAATTAACTTTAGCGAGATACCACCAAAATCAAAGTGCCCAAAAGCTAAAGGCATTTTATGTTCTTCTTTCAGTATTTTACGTCTTTGTTATTCGATATACGTTACCTACTTTTAGGCTTCATAGATAACTTTATGTGTCTGACATTTTTCATTGATAAAGGGCTTTATTAAAAATTTGTAAAATAAATGGAGTAAAAATATTTTAATCCCTTGACAGTAAACCATCTTCTTTAACTGATTATTTGTTCCCTTATTACATTTTGTCTGATGAACTCATAAAACGTTGCATAGTATTATTAATAAAGTAACATTAAAGAAACCCAGTTAACCATTACAATTTTTACTATTAAAAATTCTGTACCCCAAGAAAATCATAAATTATATTATAATTAGTATTTTAAGCGCTCTACCCAAAAATGTGATCTTTAACCCCGGCACACGTACACACCTCTAAATGAATTCTTTTCTTCAGACTTTACATGTGTTTTATATGAACTCTTATCAATTCTCAGTAAGAACAAAAAGATAGCACTCGAACTCGAGCACCTATCTTTTATGAACGATACAATCGAATGTTAACACTTTACATATTGGCAAATCATGCAAATTTCCCACAGAGTGTATAAAAACGCAGTTCAATGAATGGAAAGTTTCAGTTCGATGAAACACTCGATAGCGCCACACAAAATGAAGCTATTCGGACTGCTTTGGGTAATGTTGATACTCCAAGAAAGTACTCTGGCTGTATTGCAAGTATGTTGAGAAAGCCCCTCATTAAAAATATCGAAAATAACAAGATTACTTTCAAAGAACGGATTTGCCTTCAAGACGTCCATATGCGAGGGTAAAAATGGCGGACTTTTGCCGATGTTTGGAACTTGCAAGGGATATTATGTGTGTGCAGATGGAAAGGCTGTGATCGGAACATGTCAACCAAATACCCTGTTTAATCCATTAACTTTGCATTGCGATGATTCCAGCAAAGTGGATTGTATTTTCGATGGCAAGGATAATGACAGTGATGATTCATCGAATTCCGAAAGCGATGAGGACGATGAGGAAGTGATCGTTACGACTGATCCTCCAGTTACTGCCAAGCCAGTGAAAAAACAACGACCTACAAGCCAGGATAATGGGCTTTCGGATATGACGGATAGAATGTGTGCTGGCAAGAAGGATGGTGTAATGCTAATAAAGAAGGGATCCTGCCGGGAATACTTTGTCTGCAAGGCGAGAAAGCCGCATCTTCGCACTTGTTCTGGTCAACAACATTTTAGTCCAACGCGTCGATTTTGCATGAAGGCTTCAGAAGCCAAGTGTTCGGTTGATTCACAGAATACCAAACAATTGGATGGACCTGCCGTAACAGGAGGAGTATGTTCAGATGAAAAAGAAAACTCACTCGTGGCCCATCGGAGCGATTGCGGAAAGTTCATGCTCTGCAGCAACATGATGTTTTTGGTAATGGACTGCCCCACTGGTTTGCATTTCAATAGCGCCTCCTCCCGATGTGATTATCCCAAGGTTGCCAAATGTCAAACGAAGCAAAAGAATATCAAGAGCAAATCAAAGTCGAGAAAACCTGCCCGAAAGGCCAAATCTCGTTTGTTGTAACTCAACTTTGCTGGTCCAATAATAAAGTATTCGATATCAATTAACATCATCTACTGGCCCAGACTTTCCAACCAGACAAATCTTTTAACAAGTTTTAATATTCCAAATCATTCTTTAATAAGAAATATCCATTTACAGTTTACAATCTACACTTTATTTATTTTCTAGCGATGCTAGGCAACGATTTATGTGTGCTGACCAAATAAGACTTATTTTGAGGGTGTTACATACTTTGCCTTTCAAGGTAACTAAAATCAAGGAAGAACGAAGTCTGAGAGAAATTAAAGGCAAGCAGAAAATCGACTGCTTCCACGCGTGCAACCATTATTTACTCATAGCTTTTAAAGCCAAATAAATTGGATTTCAAATGACTCCATTTCCTTTCCAATATTATTGTAAATAAAAAAAAAAAAACATTTTGGGGCCTCAATAAGGAATTATACATAAATTAATAAAAACTAATTTAATTTAAATAATTTAATTTAATACTCTTCTTTCTAATTACACTGTCAAATTGTTGGAATTTGAATGTTCAAATGTACAAAAGTTACATTGATGTACACGCATACATTCATGTCCGCTTCTTCTTCTTATTTTTTTGTCGTTCTTTTGCTCTCTCGATATTCTCCTTCACTTCTATTCTGGCATCGAGAGCGTGCGGTTCATACAGTTTAAATCTGCGTTATTATTTATTCACTGGAAGGTGGTCTGCTTAATACTTAATTGTATTATATCCATTTATTGACAAAACCATAGGTTATGGGCCCAGACACAATTGCAGTGAATAAATAATGGTGTTTTTAACGTTACAATGTGAAAGTGCATAAAAGTGAAAAAGTTATATGTGTGTGTGTGCATACGAATATGCGTATCTACATACATGCGGTGGTCCATGAACAACAAGGAGCGATTCCTAAACTATAGAGAGTTAAATTGGTTTTATATATATAACGCTGCGAAAAATTCGCTGCAAAACAATTTTATATTTCCAGGAAGAAGCTACATACATATCACCAATTCGCCGTGATCTTTCTAGAACTTCTACGAATTCGCCGAGAACACATACACACACACAAACGCTTCGACAAATTTGCCGCAAATCTCCACGTTGCGGCGGGACAGTGTTGCCAGACAGTGCTGCTGCTGAAAGACATTGTTGCAGGACAGTGTTGAGCGACGTTAATGCTGTTGAAAGTTGCTGGCCGCTGTTGCTAAATATTACTTTGAAAAGTTGTTGTTGCGGAGTTATTGCTGTTGGAGGTTGCTGTTAGGTGTTGCTAAGAAGAGTTGCCAGGTAGTTGTTGCGGTATTTTTCTTTATAGAGAACCATACAATGGATAAAGGAAAAAGGAATATCAAACCGTTTGATGGAGAAAAATATTCAATATGGAAGTTTAGAGTGAGAGCGCTGTTAGAGGAGCACGATCTTTTGAGTGTTATAGATGAAACTCATGCAGAAGTGACCGATGAGATAAAAAAGGCAGAACGCAATGCAAAAAGCTTAATAATTGAATATTTAAGTGATGCTTTCTTATCTTACGCTAACAGTGAAAGCACTGCTAAGCAGATTTTTGCAAATTTAGATGCAATTTACGAAAGGAGAAGCTTGGCATCGCAACTATCTCTGCGAAAGAAGCTTTTAGCCATGAAATTAAAAGGTGATACTTCACTCCTCAATCATTTTAATTTCTTCGATGACCTCATTACTGAACTTATTGCGTCAGGAGCAAAGTTAGATGACATGGATAAAATTTCCCATTTACTTCTAACTCTTCCACCCAGTTATGATGGAGTTATAACCGCAATAGAGACTCTATCAGAAAGTAACTTGACTTTAGCCTTTGTAAAAACACGACTTCTTGACCAAGAGATTAAGCTTAGGAATATTAGTAAGGATACGAGTGTTAAAGTCTTGCAAGCAGTAGGTAAAAGAGATTTCAAAGATACAAAATTTAAAAGTAACGCAATGCAGAAGTTCAAGAAGAATCCGTCTAAGCCAAGTTTCAAACCGAAGCCAAAATGTTTTCATTGCGGCAAGCCAGGTCATTTAAAGAAAGATTGTTTCCTTTTGAAAAGGCAACTGAATCAGAACTTTAGTGAAAACAAAAGGAAAGATGGGCAGGCTCAGATGGCAACAGCAGCAACAAGCCAACCAGAGCGTAGTTTTGCCTTCATGTTGAGAAATGCAACTTCCAGTTCAATGGCAAGCGAGGCTGAGTTTATCCTAGACTCAGGTGCATCGGACCATCTTATAAATGACACAGCACTGTTCTCCGAATACGAGCGTTTGCAATCAAATGTGGCCATCGAGATTGCCAAACGCGGAGAGTTTATCTACGCTACAGCCAAAGGAGTGGTCAATCTTAACAGCTGCGGAAACCAAATCACCTTGCAAAACGTTTTGTATTGTAAGGATATTCCACACAACTTACTATCGGTAAAGAAGATGCAGGATGCAGGCATGACTATCGAATTTAACCCTGGAGGTGTAAAAGTATCTAAAAATGGTAAACTGGCCTTTAACGGAATATGTGAGTACAATGTACCAATTATCAAATTTCAATTGAACAGTAAAATATTTACGTCTAAAATTTCTAATAGTGCTGAGTATCGATTATGGCATGAAAGATTAGGCCACATAAGTGTAGGAAAATTTTTAGAAATAAAACGAAGTAGTCTTTTTGAAGATACTAATATTTTAAAAAATATTGATTTAAACCATGAATTATGCGAGGCTTGTATAAATGGCAAGCAATCTAGATTAAAGTTTCAAAAATTTAAGAATAAAGAAAATATTACACGACCATTATTTGTTGTCCATTCCGATGTCTGTGGTCCAATAACACCCTCTACCATTGATAATAAGAACTACTATGTAGTTTTTATTGACCAGTATACACATTACTGTGTGACCTATTTAATTACTTATAAGTCGGATGTGTTTTTCGTTTTCAAAGACTTTGTAGCGAAGAGCGAGGCTCACTTCAATTTAAAAATTGTTAATTTATATATCGATAATGGAAGGGAATATCTTTCAAACGAAATGCGTGATTTCTGTGTCGAAAAAGGCATCAGCTATCATTTAACGGTTCCTCATACTCCACAATTGAATGGTGTATCAGAACGGATGATTCGAACAATCACCGAAAAGGCTCGATCTATGATCAGTTGTGCTAAACTCAATAAGCATTTTTGGGGTGAGGCTGTTTTAACAGCAACCTATTTAATTAACAGAACCCCAAGTAAAGCATTGCAAAATATAAATAAAACACCATTTGAGATGTGGCATAACAAAAAGCCACTGTTGAAATATCTTAAGATATTTGGTTCGACGGTATATGCTTTAAATAAAGTTCGAAAAAGAAAGTTTGACGAAAAGTCAATAAAAGCTATACTTGTTGGATATGAACCAAATGGTTATAAATTGTGGAATGAGGAATCGAGGAAATTTATGATAGCAAGAGATGTTGTGGTGGATGAAATAAACATGTTAAAATCAAGAGTTTTACATGGAGAAGATTCTGAGGTTCAAAGTAATATTGTTGAACAAAATATTGAATCTTTAAGTAGAGAAAATGAAGAGTTGGATTTTCCTTTGGTGGAAAATGAGGAATCTGTTGATTCTGAGTTAAGTGAACAGCTCAATGAAAATTCCACATGTCTAGAGAATGCCGATCCAGTTGTTGAAACTGGTGATAAATTAAAAGAAAATAAAAATGATGGTGAAATCAGACGCAGTGAAAGAATTAAAAGTAAACCCAAATTATCATATCGATTTTTAGAAAGATGTCTCATGAATACTCAAATATGCTTAAATGATATTCCTAATACCTTTGATGAGATTAAGTTTCGTGAGGATAGATCTTTCTGGGAGAAAGCTATACAAGATGAACTAAATTCTCATTTTCAAAATAATACGTGGTCCTTAGTGAATAAGCCAGAAAATAAAAACATAGTTGATTGCAGATGGGTATTTAGTACAAAACAAGATGAATTTGGGAACTTAGTGAGGTATAAAGCAAGACTTGTAGCGCGGGGCTTCACTCAAGAATATATGACTGATTACGATGAGACATTTGCACCAGTTGCACGAATTTCCAGTTTTAGATTTTTGTTGGCACTTTCAAATCAATACGATTTAATGGTTCATCATATGGACGTAAAAACTGCATTTTTAAACGGAACACTAAAGGATGAAATCTACATGAGCGTTCCAAAAGGCCTAAATCACACTCATGAGAATAAAGTATGTAAACTTAATAAAGCTATATATGGTCTTAAGCAAGCTGCTAGATGTTGGTTCGAAGTTTTTGAAAGTGTGTTGAAGGATGTTGGATTTGTAAACTTAGGAGTTGATCGATGTATTTATATTTTGGATAAGGGAGATATTTCGAGAAATATATATATCTTGTTATATGTGGATGATGTAGTAATTGCTACAAACAAATCTGATACAATGTCCAATTTTAAATCTTACCTTCATGACAAGTTTCAAATGACCGATTTATGCGAGATTAGACACTTTATTGGCATAAAAATTGATAGAACTGATGGAGAGATTTGTCTTAGTCAATCAGCATATATTAAAAATGTATTGAGAAAATTTAATATGGAAGATTGTAATTCAGTTAATACTCCCCTTCCAAGCAAGTTAGACTATTTAGCTCTGCAATCAGAAGAATTATATGATGCACCGTGTAGAAATTTAATTGGCTGCGTGATGTACATTATGTTATGTACACGGCCCGACTTAAGTACTTCAATAAGTATTCTAAGCAGATATACAAACAACAACAATAAGGAACTATGGCAATGCCTTAAAAGAGTTCTTAGATATCTGAAGGGAACTGTTAATATCAAGCTTAGATTCAAGAAAGTAGCTAATTTTAATAATATTCTTACAGGATATGTAGATTCCGATTGGGCTGGAAATGAAACTGACAGAAGAAGTACCACTGGGTATCTTTTTAAAATGTTTGAAAGTTGTTTGGTTTCTTGGAGTACCATGAAACAAAAGTCAGTTGCTGCTTCATCTACTGAAGCAGAATACATGGCCTTGTTTGAAGGAGTAAGAGAAGCTCTTTGGCTAAAATCACTAATAAATGAGATTAATCTAGAATTAAGTGGTCCTATAGATATTTTTGAAGACAACCAAGGTTGTATAAGTATTGCAAACAATCCTACTTGCCATAAAAGAACAAAGCACATAGATATTAAGTATCACTTTACAAGAGAGCAAATTGAAAAGAAACTAATTTGTGTAAAGTATATTCCCACAGATCTGCAACTAGCCGACATATTGACGAAGCCATTACCGTCTGCACGGTTTATTTCCCTGAGAAGCCAGCTGGGACTGTCTGAATAAACCAACTACGAGCCGTAAAACTATTGCTGAACATTCATCACCTTTAGAAGCCAAATATGAAATGGATCTCATGAAGTCTTTTGTGATTAATTTGAATTTCCTTATTTACTGAGTCTTAAGTAATTGAATTGAATTCATATTCTTGTTATTTTTTTTGAATGGATCTAGTTGGGTTTTACTGGGTTTCCCCAACTCTTGCAGTAAATGCTGGATCTAATGTATCCCCAGAATTGAAAACGAAAAATGAAATGAAGAAACAAATTAAAATTAAAGCACAATCTCATGTCAAGAATTGAAGCGATAATCAATGTAACTTTTGAGGTGGCGTGTTGGAATTTGAATGTTCAAATGTACAAAAGTTACATTGATGTACACGCATACATTCATGTCCGCTTCTTCTTCTTATTTTTTTGTCGTTCTTTTGCTCTCTCGATATTCTCCTTCACTTCTATTCTGGCATCGAGAGCGTGCGGTTCATACAGTTTAAATCTGCGTTATTATTTATTCACTGGAAGGTGGTCTGCTTAATACTTAATTGTATTATATCCATTTATTGACAAAACCATACAAATAATAATACAAATTCTTCCTCTTTCGAAATGAAAGTATTGAATAAGTATCGGAATGATTTTCTAAAACCTTCAGTTCTTAATTATCTCAGAGATCTAATCATAAAAGAAAAGTTAAGAAGGTAAGGTAATTTCGTAAAGCAGAATTTTAGCCTTTAAACTCAAAACTAATCTAAAAACTAAAAAAATCCATAATGCATTAAAAATTGTTTATTGAAAACATTCAGCATTCAACATTATCGGGCCAATCGCAAGAATTTATCTTACTATTAAAAAGCAATCCAGAGATACAGCTAAGGTTGACCTCACATTCGCACTGGCACACGACATATGCGGAACTGCAGGTTCCTTTGGCCTTGGGGAAGAAGGTTCCGTCTTTCTGATTCTGGCATTGTCCAGGCTGATCGCAGGAGGTTCCCGAGGGTCCGGCATTCGGACCACTTGGCGGGCCATTTCCATCTTCGCATTGAACATTTTCCGGGAAATCGCACTGCTCCGTTACATTATTAAACTGCAAATTGTTGGGGCATCTCTGCTCGTACTTCTTGCCATCCACACACTGGAAGAAGGCGGAGCAATTTTTCAGCACTGGCCAGATGGAATTGTTGAGTACATCGCAGCAATCGGGATCGCAATTTTTGGGGATGCACACGTTATTCGTGTCGACCTCACACTCAAGCAGTGTGGTATTGAAAAACTGAGTAGCGGGACACTCCCTGGCAACAAAATTGCCATTTATGCACTGCAGGTATCCGGCGCAATCAGATGGATTCGCCTTCATCTCATACTCGTTGCACGTTGAGTTGCCATTGCAGGTTCCATCATCCTTTATACACTCTGTAACGTTCCAATAATAACCATCTGGGCAGGACTTGGTCACAAACTTTCCACCGGAGCAAATTTGGTACTGGGAACAGTCGTCGGCAGGCTTTGTTGCCCCCTCGGTACAGTTTACACAAATGTTATCGTAGTCGACTTCACAAGTTTCCAACGTGGTATTGAAGAAAGCTCCATTGGGGCACTGCTTGCTTACAAAGCTCCCGTTCGAACAAGACAGGTAACCAGCACAGTTCGAAGGATCCACCTTAATGGCACCTTCAGTACACGATGTTCCATTGCCTTTGCAAGTTCCATCATCTGGTATACATTTGGTAACGCTCCAGTAATAACCGTCTTGGCAGGTCTTGGTCACAAACTTTCCACCGGTGCAAATTTGGTACTGGGAACAGTCGTCGGCAGGCTTTGTTGCCCCCTCGGTACAGTTTACACAAATGTTATCGTAATGTCGACTTGACAAACCTCCAACGTGGTATTGAAGAAAGCTCCATCGGGGCACTGCTTGCTTACAAAGCTCCCGTTCGAACAGGACAGGTAACCAGCACAGTTCGAAGGATCCACCTTAATGGCACCTTCAGTACACGATGTTCCATTGCCATTGCAAGTACCATCATCCTGTATACATTTTGCTTCGTCTTTGTTCCAGTAATAACCGTCTTGGCAGGACTTGGTCACAAACTTTCCACCGGAGCAAATTTGGTACTGGGAACAGTCGTCGGCCGGCTTTGTAGCTCCCTCGGTACAGTTCACACAAGTTCCATTTGTGTCGACAACACAAATCTTCCAGTCGATATTCCAGTAAGATCCCTCGGGGCACTGCTTGCTCACCCAGTTGCCATTCGAACACGCCAAGTAACCGGCGCAATCTGTTGGGTCCTTCTGAAGGTCTCCATCTGTGCACGGTGGTGGGCCATTGCATTGGCCCTCGTCCAACGCACACTCCTTTGCCGTTGCGTTCCAGTAATATCCGGTTCCCGCAAGATTGGGACACATACTTTCCGTTAACACACACCTGGAACTTGGCGCAGTCGGTGAGGTCTTCCTTTCTTGCTTCCCTCGGTGCAGTTGACGCACACTCCACAGGTGTCGAGGAGGCACTGCTTCTCGGTCGCATTGAAGTACTCTCCATCCGGGCAGGTGAGGATCACCACGGTTCCGTTCACGCACTCCAAGTACCCGGCACAATCGTCGGGATTCGCCTCGATTTCTCCATCCACACACGTTGGCGGCTTGCACTCGCCGTTATCCTCGTCGCACTTTTGCTCCCCCGAATTCCAATAGTATCCGCTTTCACAGGACTTGGACACGAATTCCCCGTGGCAGCAGACCTGGTACTTGGTGCAATCATCCGCATCGCATTTGGTCTCGCCCTCCGTGCAACATGCCGCATTCAGTGAACCCACGAAGAGGGAAATCGTCATTAGACACAGGGCAACTCCTAGAGGGAAAACTCTGTTTCAATATCCATCCACTTAATAATCGATCCTCTTGCTTACCATAGCTGTTACTTCTGGATTGAGCCATCTTTGCACTCCGCATATCGACTGCTCACTGCTCCCTTTTCGGTCCATATCGGCTTTTATATTTACCGGCAATTAAAATAATTGAATGCCTTTTCCTGCTTTGCAGCATGTGCCGGTGATAAAGTCGAACCATCCGAGATATTATCAGCATATATTTACAGTAGTTATACAAGCAATTGATATTGTCACTATTTATAAAACTCTGCAGTGAACAGAGAATCCGCGAAGGAAAGAGAGCAGAAGCACATCGATTTCTCACAATTCTTCTCGCAGTTTTGCGAAAAAGGTTGAAGGCTACAGTTGGGGATTCATAGGAATTCCTGTTATATTAAATTTGTTTGATCATGACATAGTTTCTTTAGTTTTGAACCTATTTGTACACCTTGAATTCTTATTAGGCATGTATCTTTAACATTTTATGGCATATGTAGTTAGAAAATATGGGTCTCTAAGGCAGTGGTGGCAGTTTCTCTGCCGCTGCGCTGCTAGCGCTCTGAATCACACGTACGCAGTAAAGTAGTAACAGTCAGATTCGTGCTGCTCTAAGGAATAATAAGTATCAATGAATTGAAAAGTATATTTTGTAAAGGCTTTATGGATGCTTTATAACAGATATCAATGACTAGAATGCAGTTCATCCCTCGACATCCCCCTAAAAAGAACATACCCCATCCCAATTTAAGCAAGGGGTATTTCTAATCTGTAAGCTCATGCCACTCTTATTGATCGAGTGCCCACAGCTGCTGGCCGGTGCAAAACTGATTAGAATGATTTACTGGCCCAGAGTTTCATTAACAAAGAGGCCGATTGGGCCAGATCCCAGTTGCCTTGACAATGAATTGCTTTATTTAAAGAGTACAGTTTACTAGGGACTCGTAATTGCAGGTCTGCAAGACTTCGTCCCAGTACAATCCATCGGGACACTCCATCTCAACTTCACATCCACACTGGCAGATGACATAGTTACCACAATTTGTGGTGGACCGGAAGAAAGTGCCTTCGCTTTTACCCAAGCAACGACCATTGCTCTCGCAGGCGATTCCCGAAGGTCCTGCATTGGGACCGCTGGGCGGGGTGTACTCCCATTTGCACTTGTAGTTCGTGGGATAATCGCATTCTTCCTTATCGGGATTGTAGATCAGATTGTCCGAACAGTACTGCTCTACGGCGCAGTTGAAGTTGCACTTGTAGAACATGTTGCACTTGCCCTCCACCGGGAAGAGCTCCCCCTCCGGCTGATTCTGGCACACTGGGCTGGTGGAATTGCAGGCCACCTCGGGCACATAGTTCGCGGGATAGTCGCACTCATTCGAGGTGGCATTATAGACCAGGTTATCGGGACAATCCACCGAGATGGATACACTCGCAGAAGCATTTTGGCCCACCCAATCGCACACCCCAACCTTAGGGTTGAACTCCAGGCCCTCGGAACAGGGCATCGCAATGGGGCACTGGCATTGGCAGACCAAGAATCCATTCGAGTTGGGATCCTTCAGCCTCTCTCCGTCCTTCATATTACGGCAAAGTCCCGGATCGTCGCACTTGGCCCCCGAGGGTCCCTCGATTTCACCCGAATCATCGGCGGTGATGGTGCAGTCAACGTTCCAATAGAAATCACAGTCGTCTATCTTCTTATTGAAGTACAAACCGGAAGGGCACCGGAATTCCTCGCAGCACCCCGCGTTGCACTGGATAAAGCTGACGCAGATGCCGGGCATATCGATATAGGTTCCGGTCGGCTGATTTACACACTCCGTGCGAGGACTCTTGCAATACAGCGGTAGCACTCCGGGACCGGAAGGTGTGGTATTGGAGGAGTTGTTGGTGTCGTCGTATTCTGTGGTCGAATCCGTTGCATCGGTGGTATCCGTGGGATCTGTGACCGCAGTGGTGGTTTCCGGATCGCAGTCCTCGGTGACCGCAGTGGTTGGCTCATCGATGTCCTCGATGGGATCCTGGCACTCCTCGGCGCAACAGTCGCAGGTGCACTGATCATCCACTTCGGCAAAGGCCGAAAGTCCCAGGCAGTTGGCCCGCCACTGGAAGTCACACTCGCCGAGCTCCCGATTGAAGTGAAGACCCCGAGGGCAGCTGCCAATGATGGAAACCTCGCCCCTTTGGCAAACCACAAATCGGGAACAGTGGGTGGTCAACGGAAGCCGAGCACCATCCTCTTGTTCCAAGCAGACATTGGCCAACTGGGCCAGAGCCACCTGGAGACCTCCGATCAGCAGTAGAACCGTCCAAAGACCTAGCAGATGGATTGATTATGAGTTTCTAGCTTCTAAGGACCGAGTGCCCCCTTCACTCACTCACCGCTATAATCGATTTTTCGCATTTTTCCTTCCCCGATCACCTTTGAAGTAGTCCAAAATTCGCGAACGACTAAGTGGAAAACCGGGTGGAGTAGCAGCATTTAACTGCTTTCAGTGCTCGAAATCGGTAGTCAATCTTCTGATAATACCAATCACCATATCTATCTCTCGATTAGTTCAGTAACTGATTTGTTTGCGCCACTCGCTATCGGCAGGTGTAATTAGGTGTGCGTGTCTGGAGCTCGGGACCGGGATTCGGGGTTTCTTATCACGACATGTACCACCCCGAACCAACCGCATAGAAGCTACCCAAATATTTTGGCATAGGTCTGAATGGTTCCCGCCCTGGCGTCTGCCTAATTTATGTTTTTCCGCACGCTCCTCGATAAGCAAAAAGCGAATTCCTAATCATGCGGATCGCTTTATTGACACTTGAAATTAAATGACGTTTATTGTCGCTCAAAATGAAGTGATAGATACAGTCGATAAGATGGCGAACCACTAAGCTCGACTTTCGGATACTTGGTTCTTGAACCATCATTATCGGTTTGAAATTTGATATATTTTATTTTTGTGTCTGTAGGATTCTTTAAATGTTGATGGTAAATTTATAACATTTTATTTATTTATTTATTGTGTCTGTAGGATTCTTTAAACATTAACGGTAAATTTATTTTATAATTTTTATATGTTAATATCTCGCATATCGAATTATATTATAAAATCTAAAATTTAAAAAAATTGAGGAGAACTTTTATAGCCATTGAATTTCATTCACTTCTTTAATTCCTGGAACTGCATACAATCTAACCGATTCAAATATGCCGATAACGAAACCGTTCAGAACGGAAATAGCATTGAACTTGTCATTTAAGTGAGAGATGCGTCTTTAGCTCGGATGCGAATTTTAATGACGATAATTACTTTTCCCTGTCTTTTCACTTTAACCACTCGAGCGTCTCAGTCGCGGGGTGCAGAGAAGACTTTTTGTCAGAGAAATGCAATCGGTTCATGACAAGTACTGTTATGGGCTTAGAGGAACAAGAAACATATCGCCGAAGACTGCGGTGAGAGGCTTCCTGCAGTCGCCAGTTGGTATGAAACCCAAGACAATGCAATTCTAATTATTCAAATGCTGGCCAAGTACGCTTGAATTAAATTACCAAACTTGGGGAGATCTAAATGGAAGAAAGGAGAGCAAAAGTTGTGCTAGGGCCCAGGCACTTGAGTTGGAAAGGCTTAGACTCTTCGGTGTCCATTACACCTCACTCTGGATCTCTGCGCCCAGACTGAGGCCATAAGGGGCAACAAAAGACGGGCCAGCGGAAATATGAGTGGATCTGCCATCGCACCCATACAGCCTCTATTATAAAAATCTTCTCAGGTGTAACAGGTTTCTCAGATTTAAACAGAGGTCGCGCCTGTATTACACACAGTCATCAGCGACACTCGTCTCGCAACCGATCGCTAATACGTCTCTCAGTCGGGATCTTCAGTCCAAAGGGTGCAGGATCGAAATCTGGAGCACTGTTCGCCTTCGAATCGAAGAACTGAGATCGATTGGTGCATAGATATCAAGGAAAACCCACTCATTTCAACTCTAGCACCATTCGAAATCAGTGCTTTTGATAAGAAACAATCAGCAGAGTGTCTTAATGGAAGTGAACTCCAGAAGTGTCTTCGGCGAACCTAAATTAGAACGTTCAAAAAACAATTTAAAGGAAAAAGTAGACCTAAATTAACAAGTTGTGAGTGCCAAGCTGCAACCGCGTTGCCGAAAGAAGCCAATAAAGTGCAAGCGTTTCTCTGACCGGCTCTTTAGTCGACGATCAGAATAAGTACAGAACAATTTCTTTGTCATCAATCGAAATAGATTTCTTATCGCAGCGGAGACGAAAAATGTCACAAGATTTCGTAGTTGACACTAAGTTTTTATTGATTGTGAAAAAGGCATCTAAAAGTATTTATTATCAGTGGGAACAGTTTTGGTAACACTCCGCAAATTTCTGGATTTTCCTGTTCTAAAAGTAAAGCGGATAAGGTATTGCCTTGCAATTACCCAAAAAGTGAAGGTTAAAACCGCTTTTATTTATTTATGTACTCAAACCCAACAGAAATAACAATTATTTTAACTCTTTTACTGTCTACATTTTTGATAGTAAGGTAATTTAGAATTAATAGTATTCTTATCTCGACTTATAAATAATTTCCTACTTGTTTGGGTGTGACAAGGCAAAATCACAAACAACCTTGAATTGGCAAATCGACTACCGAAAATATTCTTATTAATTCAGTAATTTCTGTTTACCTAACTCACTATTGTACTTATTAACATCAGGGTAACAAAAAAAGGTTAAACGTTGAGAAACCAATTTTCAAAAAAAAATCATTTAATTGAGGTTGTTTCTTAACCATGAAACTAAACTTTATTTTGTTTTAAAGTAAAAGAGTATTCTGATTTCCCATAAATTTGATCTATTTTTATTTTACTCGATTTTTATTTCAGTCAATTCAAGTGTCAATTAAGAATACATGTTGCCTAACGCGCTTATCTCTTTGGGCCAAAAATATAAACATTCCCTAATAAAAGTTTGTGAAGAAACAACTGTTAAAACAAAAATAAAATGAATTAACAACATAATTGACTTTGTATTATGAAGGCTCTAAGACTAATTTTTGCTTGGTCGCTGTTTTTACTAACTTACTTGATTTTTTATTAAATAAATTCATTTTATTCAAAAAATATATAGGAATACATAAGTAATACATATTATGTCTAAGATTATTTCCGTTTATTGATTTTATATTAAATTTTTTTCAAATCAGTTGTAAACTTTTGCCTGGCATTGTACGGTATACAGTCACCAACAAACTTAATTGAAAAACCACTGATCTCTGTTTATGACAAGAACCAAATCTTATCTTTTTTTGGGTGTAGTAAATTAAAGTCATCCGCACGGGAAAATCGGGAATTTTTCGCTATATAAGGCCCAGCTGGCTAAGGCTAAATGTTAGTTGAATCTATTCAAGTTAAAGTGACGGTATACCTATTTCAAAATGCGAGGTGGGGCTTTCTTACTCGAGGCAATTAAACTGCAAACTAATATCTATAAAATATTCCAGGACTTGCAAGTTCTTGGGTCCTGCAGACCCTGCTGCTGGTCTTGATGGTTCATCTAAGCACCCAAACGCGGTTTTTAAACGCTACTGACGATATCTGTCGACTTTTCGCGGATGGAACCAAACTCCGAAAGCCCGGAACCTGCAACGAGTATATCAAGTGCGACAACTATAAATCTTTGGATAGCACCAGCTGCTCGGGAACTACGCCGTACTTCAGTCTTACCAAAAACGATTGCTACAAGACATTGGACACCACCTACTGCTCAGCACCTACGTGCAAAAAGGTGGCAACTGGTTACATTGGGGATACCCTGAATTGCGCCAATTGGTACTACTGTGATGCAGATGTGCTAAAGGGCCAAGGAACCTGCGGCTCAGGAATGTACTTCGATCAAGTCACCCAAAGGTGCGTTTATCCCAAGGATGCTGTTTGCACCGCCTCCTACGAGATGTGCGACATTGTGCCCGTAGGTGTGAATTTCCGCGATGAGGCCAATTGCAACAAGTACTACACCTGCAGCAAGACCTTCAAATTGGTGCAGTCCACCTGCGGCACTGACGAATATTACAATGTGGCCACGGGTAAATGTGGGCCCAAAAAGGACATTGTCTGCGAGAACCATCCACTTCCAGAGGACGCCTGCGGCACCAAGAAGCTGGCTGTGCGTGGCAAGTTCGTTTCCGATGGCGCCACATGTCGCGGCTACTACTACTGCCGCGATCTTGGCTCTGGAATCCCCGATCCCGATCCCATTTATCAGCAGTGCGACAAGAACTACTTCTTCAACCAGACGCGACAGGGTTGCATGCCTCGCGAGAGCCAGAAGTGCGCCTACGATCGGTGCGATGGCATCGAGGATGGCTACGAAGTGGCCGAGGACGTAGGATGCCACAACTACATCAAGTGCGTCGATGGCCGGGAGACCACACCGTTGAGCTGCGAAAAGGGGTACTACAATGCTGCCACCCAAAGTTGCAGCGACTCTCAGATAACTTATGGAGCTTGCGCCGCCTAGTGGCAAAGGCCATTCCAGAAAAAATTAACTACTATTTTATATTTGCAATTAAAAATAATGCTTGTGATTCGACATTTGTTAGGTCTTACAATTTTTTTGCGAACAGATCAGCTAAATTATATGAATATCCATATTTTCCCGAATCATCTCGATAAAGAATATGATTTACATTTTATATAGGATCAATTATTTTAATGTTGATTTTGCTGAATATCAGAAGTTTACTTGGTAAATCAGTCATCATACTTTGGCAAAAAATTAACACATTTGTATTGCCGCTTTTCAAGTTTATTTTTTGACAGATTAAGTAAAATAATGATAATGTTTGATAGTTCAGTTTTATTCATGCTTATAACAGCTACAAGAAACATTATTTTAAATTCTTACGTATTTTGATTAACACAATCGGCAGATTATAGGATCCTAAATGGGCTTGTAGTCCAGTCGCGACTCAAGTTTTTTGTTGTCGGCGATTTTGCGCACAGCCTTCATGAAATCCTCCTGAACGACGTACTCCCGATCGCAGCGCAGGGCAAACAGCCCGGCTTCGGTGCAAATGTTCCGCAGATCGGCACCGTTAAACATGTCCGAGAGCTTAACCACCGACTCGTAATCGATTTCCCCGTGCTTGGACAGCGGTGCGGCGTGGATCTTGAGGATGTCCATGCGGGCCACTTCGTTAGGCAGCGGAATCTCCAGTTTTCGATCAAGTCGCCCGGGACGCAGCAGGGCGGGATCCAAGGTATCCGGCCGGTTGGTGGCCATGATTATTTTCACCTGGCCCAAAGCGTCGAAGCCGTCCATCTGGTTGAGCAGCTCCATTAGCGTGCGCTGGATCTCGCGATCGGCTGAAGTTCCCTCCGAGAAGCGACGACCTCCGATGGCGTCGATCTCGTCCATGAATATAATGCACGGCTGGTGGTCACGTGCGTAGGCAAACATCTCGCGGATCAGGCGGGCACTCTCGCCAATGTACTTGTCCACAATGGCCGAGGAAACCACCTTCAGGTGGGGTTGAGAAAAATATATATTATTTTGGGATTCTCTAATAAAAGTCGAATTAATTCATCAGTAATTTATCACAAGAAACTTTGTTCCTCATAATAATATTTCCATTTTTAAGTGATGAATCATTGATTAATTTCCGTAAAAGTCAACCATATCATCAGTGAAAGGTACTTAATCTAACATATGTATATATTTTTCATTTAAATCTTTGGTTCTACTTAAATCAAACAATATTGTTAACGGAAATGGCATATTTATGACCAAAAAAAAATGTATAATAGTGCAAAATTCCCGTGATATTAGGGATGCGAAAATCTTACCTTCAGGAAATTGGCGTCCATCTGGGAGGCGATGGCGCGGGCCAGGAGAGTCTTTCCGGTGCCAGGAGGCCCGAAGAGCAGGCATCCCTTGGGCGGATTGATGCCAACGCGAAGGAACAGATCCGGATTGAGCAGCGGCAGTTCAATGACCTCGCGCAGCTCGCGGATCTGCTGACCAAGGCCTCCGATCTCGGCGTAGTTGACGTTGCCCGGATCCTCGTGGGTCATGTTGTAGACCAGTGGATCCACTTCCCGTGGCAAATAGCGCATGATGGTCAGGGTGGTCACATCGAGGGCGACGCGAGTGCCCGCCTTAAGCTTCGCCTTGTTTATCTGCCGGCGACATCCGACCACGTAGCGCGGTCCATTCGAAGCCTTCACGATGAAGTTGTCCGGCGTGAGCTGCTTGAGGACCTCCCCGAGCATCTGGCCCACGCTCTGCAGGGCCTTCAAATCGTCCTCGGACTTTTCGTACTCGGCGTTCAGAATCCTGTGCTTGTCCCGCAAAGCCTTCAAACGCGACTCGATCTCGCGGTGCTCCAGGAGCTTGGTGCGGTAAGTGGTCAACGCCTTCATCCGCTCATCGTCCACCGGGGTATTTGCTTTTGGAGCTGGAGAAGCCATCTCACCGAATTCCAATTGTTTTAACTACCCCGAAATACTTTTCAAAAATGTGCCAACTCACGTTACGATTTTAAGGTCTGTCAAACTGAAAGGAACTAGTTTATTTAGGAACCACCGGAATTGTAGTCGGTTTTATACCCTTGTAGAGGGTATTATAATTTCAGTCAGATGTTTGCAACGCAGTGAGGGAGACGTTTCCGACCACATAAAGTATATATATTCTTGATCAGCACCAATAGCCGAGTCTATCTAGCCATGTCGTCTGTCCGTCTGTCCGTTGTCCGTCTGTCCGTTTCTATGCGAACTAGTCTCTCAGTTTTAAAGCTATCGCGATGAAACTTTCCCGAAGGTCTTCTTTCTATTGCAGGTAGTACATATGTCGGAGCAGGGATCGGACCACTATATCTTAAGGCTCCCAATCAAATATAAGAAAATTCATTGTAACTTTGTAGGAAGTAGGCGTTTTGATTCTTGACTACTTAAAAACAAAATTGAAATAAATCGAAACGCTGAATCTGGAATCCCTGGAACTGCACCGGGGTATTCTTTATCTACAAGGTATTACTTCGCTCCTTCTTTTTTATCTAAATTGGAACGTGAGAATGGAACAATTTCAGTAAACACTATAATTAGGGTATTCCCCAAACTTTTGAATTGTTTTATATTAATCAGAGAATTTTAGCAAATAAGGAAAGAGCTCCATTTAATTTTCAAGCAGCTGTGATTACAAAAATAGGTTTATTTATCGGTGTTCGTCTGTGACTAAAATTATAAGTTCGAATTGGAAATTTGCATTAGCTAAATACTTTTATATAGTCTAGATCAAATTCTTTTATAAGTAAAATTCGGTTTTAATGTCAATAATACTTTCACAGCATTAAGAGTTCTAAAAACAATTGAAAGCTTAAAAATATGGGCAGATGTACACACCCAGTCATGTTGACTTTGGTCCTTAAATCGATTGCGTCGGAAGGTGTTGGCCGGGAACCAAATGTCAGCATGGCATCCAGGCCATAAATCAGGGCATTTTGGAAGCACTTTGTGCTGCGGGTCCAGCTGCTTCTAGTGGCGTGGCTAGCACGACCAAAACATCGAGATATCCACTGGGACAAGTGCATTCGCGGGTCGAAATGCGCCGAATTCGGGACCCATGACAAATATGCAGTTTGCAAATGTTTAATGAATTTTGGCCCCGCCTAACATTGCAGAGCCAATTGCTGCCAAGTATTTTGACTGTGGTTGAAAGGCTTTGCACACAAAAAGTAGAGTTGCACTGGAATTGTAACTTATCATATTTTGTATTTAATGCAAAATAATCCACAAAAACTAAAAAGTAAAAAAAAATACTTCGCAACTTATACTTGAAAGTACTTACGTTTAAAAAAAGTTTCAGTTCAGTTTATAAAGTCATATTTTTAATGGACTTTTTTAAGGTCTTTTAACCTTTAGTGTACAATTTATTACACATACGTAGTGTTGTCTACAAACACAAATTTATGTTTTTTCGAGTGGCTAGAAATACATTTGAATTGAACATCATTCGCTAATTAAGAATGTTTTCAGTGCAGTTTTCCAAAATGTTTAATTTATTAGTTTGTGGTGTAGAGTTTATAAATTTAAACTTAAAACTTATCCCGAAGAGAAGAGCGAATCCCGGTCAGACAGAAACTGGATAAAAAGTATCTTATGGGGTGGGAGAAACACGAGCAACAGAAATATGAAGTTTTCTGAAAATGAGACTGAATTTCTATTCAATAAAGTTTAGCTGCTTGGCGGCTCCGATTTTGGTTGCGTGGTACAACATGTGGCGCAGATGTTCCACACCAAACACAGCCAAAGTTTGCTATCTGGCCAGAAGAAGCAGAAGAAGAGGTCTGTTCGATTTCGGCTCACTTACTCCAGTGTCCCCATGAAAGAAATTAAACGCAGACCCTCAACAGGACGGCTTGTTGCAACTTTCGCTTGTTTTCGATCTTGACTTCTGACTTCCTCCGTGGCAGGGAATTACAGTCGAGGACATGGGCGGGGCTGGCCAACATGTTCCTGAAAAATTATGGCCCAACCTTCGACATTGTTGCACCCTTTAACTCCAAATTAAAGAGCTCTAAATTTGAAAACGTTTGAAAACTTTTATTTGGATAAAAATGCAACAAAAACCTAGTATTTTGTTTGCAGATAAAGAGATTAGTAATCAGGTTGAGCTCTTAAATAATTTATATGTACGAATTTGTATAACCCAATAATCATAAAATGCTTAAGTTTAAGCGATTTGTCCTAACTAACTGTAGCTATTTAAAATAACTATTAGCAGGCAACATTTGCACATACAAATGTGTGGTTTGTTTTGATAAAAAAGATTTAATATTAGCCGACTACAAACACCAGGCTAATTCTTTGGTAGCCAGAATTGTTAGTTTTATCAATATGTACTAATATATAACAAGAAGAAATGTTTGAAAATTGAAAATAACTGCAAACATATATATTTTGAAAAATACAATGTATGGAAATTAGGATTTTTTTTTATTTTCTTGTATCTCTTTAAAGTATACTCTATCCTTTACTGGGTGCTTATTTTTAAGGACTTTTCCATCGATCCTCTTATTAATTATGTGCGGCCTCATGTGGAATCTGGAATATGATTTGCATATGGGCGTAGAATGTGCTAATGCAAATTTAGACCCAGCTTGAATTTCATTAACACAATTCGGGGAGTGCAACGGTGCAAACACATACTTCCCCTCCATTTTCCGATTCCCCTTCTCCGGCACTCATCCCGCCCGATGTTTGATGGCCATACATCAGGATGAAGGATGAGCACTCCAGAGGATGTATGTGCCATGTGCAAGTACTTACATATGTACACAGGTACAGGTGTGCAGAAATGTGGCCATGCATTGTAACGTTAACTGGTGACGCTGTCAAGATGCAAGAAATGTCCACACTCTGAAAAAATAAAATACAGCTATTTCAAAGTGCAGAGATATTTTTTAATATTTTTTAAAATATAACAACAGAATTAGTTTAAATCGGCACTTTATTTTCAAAAATCCTTTGAAGGTTAATGTTATTATTTAATAAAGATCATAAAATAAAATTAACGGGTATAATAATTGAACTTCCTAACTCTAACATAAGTATATATTTTAAATTTGTATCTTGATTTTAGTAAATTGTCTTGTCCTTTTTCCCAAGTGCTCGCTTGAGGGGCGGCGAGTGTTTTGAGTTGAGGTTAACAAAAATGGCTATGCGTCGTCCTGCTGACTGCGAAATTGCTTTGGATGCCAAATGAATGCACTTGCATATTTCATTGCCGCCCTGTCACCTGCGGTCTCACCTGCGGGCCACCTTTGGCTGCAAGTCAGGAACACCCCATCGTAAAAACAATGGATGTTAGCTTTTCTGTTAGGTGCAATCGTAACTTTGATTACAAAGGTATTTTAAAACTAAAAATGAATATACATTTACAAATCCGTTTTATTTTAAATTTGAAAGGTTTGGATTAAGTACAAGCTTTTTTAAAACATACAATTTAAATACAGGCTGCTAATAAATAAATAAACTTAGCTTATTTCCTAATGCATGGGTCAATTACCATTGTATTGTCCAAAACTTTGTATAAAATTATAATTTTCTTTGTAAAAAATGTTCAAAACAACACTATACTCATAATTTTTAATCAACATTTAATTAAAATTAATTTGCTTAACATTAGCAATGCTAATTTAGCATTGCCTTACATGGCGTTAACATAGCGACCCACTGCCTTAGTTTATTGTTGGGCCAGGTCACTTACGATCCACAGCTTCCACCCACTCCGTGTGGCACGCATTGCGGAAACTGTTGCTGTTGCTGTTAGCAGTGCCGTTATAAAGTAACGGTACCACGGCCATATAGAAGCCAGTGTGCTGGCAGCTCCGCGTGGCAACGGTAATCGAATCGGGTAACGGTAACGGTACGATCTAACGGAAAATGTGACGGAATATTGGCGGGATTATATGCGTGTTATGATTTATTTATTTTATTTACCGCGTTAATGTCGTTAAAATAAAAGTAAATTTACATTGTTAAAAGTAGCAGTTAGTGAATAGGTACTACCTCTTAATTTTATTTATTTTATTTTTACTTTGTCTTTAAAATATTTATTTAAAGAATATATAATTAACAATTGATTGAAGCATTAAAATAGTTTTTATAAATCTTAAAAATTATTATTGTATTATTTTTAAGCTACCAACTAGAAAAAGAGCTACTCTTCCTCAAATATTTAAAGAAAAATCACCTGAAGAAGGACTTATGGTGTGTGTGAACGATTTACCCAGCCAAATAAAGTGCTTATTATTTCGAAACCATCAAATGAGTGTCTAAAAGTGACCCACAACCATGTCTTCCGGGGAATGGGATCTGCGGGCGCTGAAGGCGCTCGAGGAGGAGGAGCAGCGCGAGTTCCTGGCCCTCAGCCAGAAGAATCTCTTTGATCCGCTGCCGAATCCCACTTCCGATGCGGCCAGCGCAAAGCCTTCGCTCACCTACGCCCAGTTGCATCCGCATCTGCTGAAGCTGCCGACAATTGACGAGTGCCAGCTGATGGCCGTCAAGCAGCAGAGATCGGCGGCCCTGCGATTCAGCCGTGCCCTCTCTTTGTCCGCCCACTCGCTATCCTCCCGAACCGGAAGCGGTGCGGCTACCGGAAACGGAAGTGGTTTTGGCTTCGGGCGCAAGCTGAAGGCCCGCTTGGTGGGCGCCAAATCCAGTGGTTCCCTGTCGCCCGGTCGTCACTCGCACAGCTACAGTGTGTCCCCGGTATATACGCCGCCGCCCATGCGGAAGATGTGCCACCCTGCATCACACGCAGCCGGTGCGAAAGGCGTTCAAAAACCTGCAGCAGTTGCACGAGCGGAAACGGCAGGCGGCCGGAAGTCACCTGCAAAGGATCGCTGGCACCGGAAAAACGTACTGGAAGTATGGAGCCAACTCCACGGCAGCCTCGATAGTGGCCCGGCAATCAAACCAAAAATTGGATGTGGACGATCCATCCAATGGATCCGATGAGGTGAACTCGGAACCTCAAGAATTCTCGGAAGCGGAAACGGGCTCCTGCAGTGTGCCGCTGCCGGCGAAGGACACGAATGAAATACTGCGCCTGATGCTCAGTGCGGCCAGTTCGGCGGTCACAGTCACGCCGACGGCGGCATCGGCGGCCATTGGCAATGGAAGCGTGACCGGAGCAACTGGTGGCGCCCTGGCAATGAGACGCTACCAGAATGCCAGCGATGTTGAGGAGGACGAAACTGTTGCGTACGAAGCTTTCCACCAACAGGCCAAAAGCTTCGAGCGCGGCGCTCTCTTGCGCGTCGCCAGTTTAACAGCGCAAGAGAGCGATAACGGAAAGGCCATCAGTCCGCAGAGCAGTCCCGCCAGGGAAATGCAATCCACAACCAGGCGGATGTTCAAGTCCTCCTCCTTGGATTGGCCCGGGGAAGCACAGGCACAACAGCAACATCAGCCGCAGACCCATCAGCAACATCTAGCCCATCAGCAGCAACATCAGGCTGCCAATCAGCTGGAGTTGGTGGAACAGCAGGCCAACGATTCTCGTTTCCGGCAGCGGGATCACTGGGATCTGGAGCACGTCCACTTCCATCACGAGGCACTGGGACATCTCACTGGTGGTGCCACCACCGTCATCGATGACGAACTGGAGCAGCATATCAAGCACTGTTCCTGCTCCTGCAATCACATGGGCTACGGCAACTCGATGGACTATCAGGTGAGTTTGGGTTACAAAAAAGAGTGCGAGATTTTTGTATGTCCAAAGTTTGGACTCCAAACATGGATAAAAAAATTAAATAGTAAAAGTAAATGTATGCATATAGAGGGCAAAGATGTGTAGTAAATATTTGAATTAAATTAAACCATTATTTACTATAAATCATATTGCATTGCTTGATTTAATTTGAAAATATTTCAATTAAGGTCAAATATATTAAATTCGTTGTTAATCATATTTACATTAAATATTTTACGTCATTAAAAAAAATAATTTCATATTTTAATCAAAGTTTAAAACATTTAAACTATACATGGTAAATGTAATATTTTCATATTTCAAATTAATAAAAAACCACAATGGACGAAAAGCATACCGAAATATATTTAAATTGGATAGGAAATACTTGTATAATAAATCTGAAATTATTAATCAAAAATGTTCAACATTTTATATCAATCGTTTGTAAGTCAAAAACAGATAAAATGAGTTTTTCCACCGTGCTCCCATACAAACCAAAACCACGGCAAATCCCCTGCCGTGAGCACTCTTCCACAAATGATTGTGCCGTGTAATTTTAATTGCACCAACTATTTCAGCAGTGCGGGTGTCCGGCCATTCAGGTGAATGGCGGCACATTGAGTGGGCCGTTCTAATGCACTGTACGTATTACCCAAACTCATTATCACCGAGGCCCTTTGTGGGCATTCCGGGTTCACGGCTGGATTGGTCCTGCCAGATTGCCGCCTGGAGATCGGCCCGGGGCCACTGACTCTGCCAAGTGCTCCATTGTCTGGCTGCGAGTGGCCCGCAGGCGGCAGCAGCGAACTTTTAAACTAAATTGAATACCCCTTTGAATCCAACAATGAGAGCTGGTTGCTCGTTCTTGCCGGGACTAAGCTCCCCACATCCCACATTATTGTCTGTAATTGTTAAGACGATTTTAGGTTTAATAGCTGCCATTTCGAATAGTGCTCGAGTCTCTCTCATGGCTGACCCCACGCAAACTCAAGACTTTATCTTTTGTTTTACTGCGACGTTGCTGTGCTGTACTCTGTGGCCCCAGGGCCGTGTGACTTTTATTGTCCAACAAACTGCAGTGGAAACTGTTCGGGAGTTCAGGCAGGAGCTTAGAGCACGCAAATATTAATATTAAATAAATAGTAAATATTGCACTCCATTCTAAAACATCCAGTTTAGATGCTGGCAAATGTTGTATGTTGCTTTGTTAGCTCCGAAAATACTTATATTTTGATAGGGCAATGTATTTCTCCAAGGATATTTGGAAATTTTCCATATCTATGCTTTTGAGAATTGAATAGACCAATGGCAAAGTATGGGTAGAGTGGTCTAAAAAATGTAATCTTATTTCCATTTCCAGATTTAGCTTTTTTTTTAAGATAAATACTAAAAGGTCTTAAAGTTTTCTTAAAAATTACGCATACGTCAAGCATGCCAGTAAGAATTCACACCAAAAAAATGGTTCTATCCGTGTTAACTTATTGATTTCGTTGAAATAATTGTTTAAATAAGGAAAAAGCAAAATACAAATGTAAAATACGAAATTTGAAATCTACGCCACTTCGTATGAGTGATAAAACTCATTTATTTCATTTCCTGTACCTTAAATGTCTTACTGTATGTCTTAATGTCTTAAGATGCTTAAAAGGAGTGATGATTGGTAACAAGTTTAATTATAATTATTTCTACAATACCAACAAGTTTTTGGCTGAAAACTACCCCCAGTGACCTTCTGAATGAAAACTCTAACCCGTTGTGTACTTTGATTATAACTTTATAGGAGAGTGTTTTACAGCATATAAGATAAGATAAGTCTACAATAGGTGCGTGATTGCGATTGGGAGTGCTTTACTAATAGCGTTACTAACATAGGGCGTTTACATCTAATTCGATCGAACATCCTGGGGGTCATGCGTCTAAAGGCTGCGGGAATTATCCGTTATCCGCGATGCGATCCGATCACTGCAGCGTGCTCTGGGGCGGAGTGAGGGGCGTCCAGGTGTCGGCACCAACGACCGGGGCTCCTCCGTTCACCACCGAAACGGTGGGCACCGCAGCTCCGCCGGTAACGGCAACCCCGGTGCCCCGATGCTCCACCGAGTGCTGATCCAGGGACGAGGAGGAGGACTCTATCTTGATGTCGTGGGTGCTCTTCAGGGCGGCACTGGCGCACTCCAGCGTGATGACCGAGCCCTGCTCGTCGCTCGGCTTGTACATGGCGGCCTGGGGATCGTCCAGCGTCTTCGTTACCTCCACGGGCTCCAGCGGATGGGTGGCATAGCTGCAAGGTGGCGGGTGGGCGGGGAATCATTGATAGCTACGTTAGCGGTAAGAGCGCACAGTTCCCACACCGATTCAACCTACCCGATTTCTAAAGGAATGTACTCCGGCTGGTAATACGCGGCGGCGGCATTCTGATATAGTCCGTACTCCGCCCCCGATCCATTGTGCCATCCACTGGCGCCGGGATAACTGAGCGCCGAGGGCGCATTCAACACAGCATTCGTGTACAGCTGGTGGGTGGGCGAGGTGGGTGTGGGATGATACACCTGGTGGGCAGCTGCTGCTCCGTACGCCGCTTGCGGGGATCCCGAGGCTCCCACTCCCACTCCCACCCCTGCCCCGCCCCCAACGCCCACTCCGGTGCCATAGATGTCCGTCTGGGCCATGTTGTACTGGTGGCTGTGTGGCGTCAGGTGGTGGATGGTGTAGCTGGGCGAGGAGGTCGTGTAGCTGGGGGATCCGTTCGTGGGCGACGGCGAGTTGTGGGAGGCTGAAAGTGGAAAGTGGACAATCAGGGGTCATTCCAGTCGCTTAGGGGTAACAATTTCTCTGGCTAAATCCTTAGGTGACAATTTAAAGCTTCTTATCTTCTTAAATACTCAACAAAAAGGCATGTCGCTCTAAAATTTAAATGTTCATGTAAATTTCTGGTTATGCAAAACCCATATCGTTTTTACATGAAATACTCACATTGACCATATAAAATTTACCTGGCCCCATATCAAGTTAAAATTGATTTTACATAATGTAAAATCGATCTACGTTTCATATCGATTTTTTTGAAAGCTTAGAACTTTCTAATTTAGCTATATTTAAAAAGTTTTTTGAATTTGTACTAAAAGTTAAAGTAAATATTTTTAATTTTGGTAATGGGTTTTTCCTATCGGCATTATAGTTAATTATCCATATTTTTTTTTTTACCAAAATCTTTAATAAGAGGATATGGATTTCGCAGGCAATTAAAATCCATTAAAAATCTTAGAGTTATAAAATAAATCAAGTATCTTTAAATGAGAACTTTAAAGCCTTAAAGTTACCCAAGGAACTTTCTAATTATATTTCTGTTATTCAAGCTAAAAGGTCACGTAACTGGTCACCCAAAGTGTGGTACCTTTGGTGAGCCCTTCGGGTATTGTGCCAGGATTTAAGCTATAAGCTACTCACAGATATTGCGGCCACTGCACACGTTCATGGGCATTGGTCCCGGTACGCTGGTGGCGTTCCAGTAGTTGCCATTACTCTGCCAGCTGCTGGGATACGAGAACACCGAGGCCGTGGGACTGGCTTCGACCGGCATAAAGCCGGATTGGGCGTAGGAACTGCTGAAGCAGCCGGCACTCGACGAGGATCCAAGTCCGCCGGTGCCGGAGCTGCTCACACTGGTGCTCACGGATCCCGTGGACGAGGAGTGCAGGCTGGTGGGCGTCTGCGGAGCCGACGGCGGTTGCGGTGAGGTGGATGAGGCATTGCCGGCACTACCGTTCGATCCGGAACCGGAAACGACCCTGGGTCGACTGTAGGGCGTGGTGCGAGTGGGCGGCGCTGCACTGCGTCCAGATAGTGACCTGCCGTAGCGATCGCAGGTGGCGCCCGAAGAGGGACCTACGGAGGCGGCGGCGGACGAGGAAACGCTGGGACAGGTGGCCACCAGCCCGTGACTCTGGGCGATGGGCAGCGGAGGAGCAGCCACCGCGGCAGCCGTGTAATGAGTTGGCGGCGGGATCAGCCAGCCGTAGTGGGTGTCATGTGGATACAGCGTATCCGGTCGCTCTTTGGCATCGAGAAAGGCCTTGGCGAATGGATTGTACTTGATCTTCAGCGAGGTGACCTCCTCGTTCTGATAGGCCGTCACCGCTATAAACTGGGTCTCCGGAAAGGGATAGGTGACCACGTGACGCTGCTCGGAGCCCACGCGAACGAGATGCACACGTGGCTCGTATTTGTGCAAAGAGTTTAGCATTATCTATAAGGAAAATGTATATAGTTTATATAGTTTATGAAGTTAAGGTTTTAAAAGCTTCTGCCCACCTGTCCATTGCCATTCGTCTTGTTGGTTAGCTTCACTTTGGCAAACGATATCGGCTCCTTCATCCAGTGCGCACCGAAGTTGGGAGACTCGGGGTGTACGTAGATGGGGTTCGACGGGGGAACCTCCGCTTTGCCACCAGGAACCTTAAAGATAAGGAAAATAAAGGGTTTAATTTGTGTTTGAATAAATTATAAATAAAACATATTTATTGAGTTTACAAAGATACTGTAAAAGAGTAAAAGTCCTTTAAATTAATATATAGAATAATAGATTTCCATAAAAAAAGTCTGAGTTTATTTCTATTTTAATAGTTGCCATTACTTTTTTGTGAAAAATAATTTTTTTTTTTATTTAATTTAAAGATTGAAAAATAAGTTTGGTTTAAATTGACTCAGAAAGTTTATTAGATAAAATACAAATGCAATTTTCTTATGAGAATTGAGCGATTTAAATTATGAAAGAAAGACTAACGTTTTGGTTTTTTTTTTTCAAATTTTCCAAATTTTTTGTGAGAAGATAATCTCTCTTGGGTTTTAATCTAGAGGATCGATCAGTTAGATTTCCCTGACTGAGATCGGTTAATAGACTTACCCATTCCCCGTTGACGTACTTCCAGCGATGTGAGTCGATCTGGACGAACTCCAGGAGGACGGTGTACATGGCGGCGGGGTCCAGACCCGAGGCACTGATCTTCACCACGGGGAACATGCGCCTGTTTGTGACAACGGAGATCGCAATTAGCAATTATAACAGTTATATAACAGTCGCCATGCATTCGTAATAGTTCGTAAACAGTGAGCGCAAATGGTCAACTGCCACGAATCGTTTACCTTTGCCTTTGCCTTTGGCCCAGACCCAAGCACCCAAACTCCTAAACTCAAACCCCGAGGTGGAATTGGAGGAGAGAAGAGGGTCCGGATTGCGTTGTGGGCAAATATTGGAACGCTCATGCGGGCTCTGTTCCACAACAATTAGTACAAGATGGCGGCTGTTGCCGGGCCACGCTAATTAGCACCTGACCAGGCCAGCAGACCCGACTCTCGGCCCGGTTCCAAGTTCTAAACGCGCGTTTCGCATACATACACACACACACACACTCCCTGTACATATGCCCGTAAATTGGTAAATATTTTTAGTTATTTCAACAAATGTTGGCATGTAAATAAACACACGTATAGACGTATATCTACACTCGGAAAACCACTCCAAGCCAAGTATATAGAATACCTTGAGGGTCCAATGAGAGTACTTTATAATAGCTGGGTACTACAATTGAAAATATTCCAACTTCCAAATGAAACTCAAGAGTTCAAGAATTCTATTCCTTAACAAGTATATAGAATTCCTTATGGGTCCAATTACAAGAGTTAACGAATTCCACCCCTTATCTAGTATTTAGAATTCCCAAGGGTCCAATGAGTTCTTTTTAACGCTGGCTTTTACAATCCAAATTTACAAACTTTTCTTTAATAGAACGCAAGAGTTTTTTTTATGTAAACTACTACATGGTTTTTTTTGAGTTTAAAAAACAAACTACCTGTTTTTTTTTTGAGTGTATCGGCTTCAAGCTGAACTGGAGAAACGTTAACGCTTCATTATGACTTGCAAACGGGGAGCAGTGAGATGAAAACCATGGAAAACCGATGCAGCAAAAACAAAAGCGCAAAACCTCATTGCCAATTTGCATAGGAAAACAAAATGCGCCGCCATCGCCATTTAACACATTCGAATTTCGAACAGCCCCCGACCACCAGAAACCAATTTGACTCACTCACCTGCCGTTTTTGGTGACGATCATCTCGTTGGTGAGATTCTGGAATCGCAGCCAGAGCTCCCGATCGTCCAGGGAAATGCGCAGATTGCGATCCAGTTCGTTGGGACTGCCTGCTCCGCCGACCACTCGATGTCCTCCATTTCCGGATACGCTGGCTCCGCCTGCGGTCACCGCCACCACTCCACCCAACCCATGACCATGTCCGTGTCCATTATGGGTCACATGCTGTGGGGAACCACTGTCGCCACCGCCAGCACCACCACCTCCACCGCCACTCACATTGCCACTGAGTCCGGTCGTTGGATCCACGGCGGACAAGATGTGCGATGTGGTCATGTCAGCTGCAAAGCACAAAAAGAATATTCAATTTTTAAATTCGAAATTAAAGTTATATTTTTATATTTTAAAATACTTTAAGAACTATTTCTAAGTAGAAAATAATAGCGAAAACCTATGACAAACTTGTTATATTTATACTAAGACCTAAACCTTGCCTAAACGATTTGTAAAAAGTATACAATTAGTTGAAAGTTAATCCATTAGTTTGCTTACTGTATATATAAGTAACTTTAATTTGAAGTAAACATTTAATTTCGTATAAAAATTGGTTTTATTTAAAATTTAATTTTTATATTGGGGGTAACTTTTTTTTATAGGTTGATGAATTGTAAAGGCAATTTCATTATATTAAACAGTTTGGTATTTGTTAGTTCGAAGTTTACCTTGCATTCATAAGAAAGTGAACATTAAAAACGTAACTAGATTACAGTATAACAATAGAAAATTTTTAAAAATTCATAAAATAAATATAAAAAGAAAGAAGAAGGTTTCATACAATCAAGAGACATAATTTTGAGTGTCCCGTTCGATTTGGAATTTGGAAAACATTATTTTCTGAACGTCTGGAATACAATCGCAACCGTGGTCAGTGTGCATGGGCATTACATCAAAGCAATCTCACCCGCCTGGCCGCCGAAGTGTCGGCTTTATGCGTTTACAGCACTCTCCCAGGAGCATTAGAAGAATGCTCGTCCAGCTCTCTTGTCGGCTTTTAATTATATTGCACACTTTAGCCATGCCTGGGATTTTGTCTGCGAGTGGGTCTGACTGGGATTGGTAGTGGTACTGGGATTGGGACTGGGATTGAGGCTGTGAGTCTCAGTCGGCTGAGATGCTGGCTGGCCATAAACAACGGGCACCCTTTTTATTTATGGCCGCGGCAACAAACACCTCTGTTTTGCGTCGGGGTCGGGCCAGGGTCATTTGTTCGGTTCGGATGCTCGAAAACCCCTCAGATGTGCCGGTTCGTTTCAGTTCGGGTGATGTCTAAATTCTGGGCCCCGTCCACCGAAAGTGTTTCTCGCAATGTTTTGTAATCATAAATTAACAAAATGTATTAATTGTTTTGTTTGTTTTTATTGGGCCACCAATTTGGGGCCAAGTGCCGCCGTCTAGGATTCTTTTATGGCCACGACCCCAAATACCTAAGACCGATTGTTCTTGCTTCTTGGATCCAGATTTGATTTATTGGAAATTTCTTTGCCCATCTTCCATCATAAAATGGCAACAACCGAATGCGGTTCGATGTCTTTCGTATTTGTCAACCATTTAATGTGATGGTGTCAAGCGGACAGGTTTCTCTCGGGTTCTAGGTGAGACCCACATAAAACGAACTCTACAATCAATCAGCAATCAGATGTGTGCCCTCTAGAGGGTTCTAAAGCTCGAAAACGAAATCAATCAAAGAGGTGGTTCGGGGATTTACTTGAGAATTTTGTGGAGGCATTAGAAAGATATTATTTAAATGCTTGTAGAATACTTTAATCATATACTTTTTCCTTTTCATTAAATGTATATCACTTCATGCGAATATTTGATCTATTTTATAATAACGTAGACAATTAAAATTCGGATGATATTTTATAATATGTATTGATAGCGAAATTCCCTGTTGTCTAATACAAGTTAAAAGACCCTTGACAACTTATTACCCGTATATTCGTACGCTTTTATCGACAACCCCCAACCAATTAAAAGTTTCAAATTGATTTCAATCAGTTGAATTTCAAAGTTTAACCACTTCAGCCCGTCATCGGAAAGTTATGCTCAATTTATGGATTTTCAAAGGTTTCCGTTTTACCAGCTCGTGTTCGCGTCGCATTATCCTAATTTTCACGCGATTCTTGGCGGGGTTTTCTCATGTGCCCAATAGACGACATCATAAAAATTCACTCTTCATGACGGTGCCGCCGATGGTTCCCCACATGGTGGGGGCCTCATGGCTCATGGCCGTGTTTGTGTTCCACATCGATCCGCACCACCACACCACTCCAGCGTACAGCCTCCAGCCTACAGTTCTCCCAGCTTCGGCTCCATCACTAAGCTTAATGAAAAGCTGTTTCTGTGTGTTGTCTCCTCATCCGAGGAAGCGTGTGTGACTGTTTGCCCATGTGTATATACTATATAGTATGTAGTATATACTTTGACTTTTGATGGCAGCCATGACGGGTTTCGGTTTGGGCTTTGCATTGGACTCTTTCCCCATCCGCTTTGTTGTTGGCTTTGTTGATTTTTGAATCATTTCGTGACTTTGATATTTACTCAGACGCTTTGAGAGGTTTTTTTTTTCGTATGAAATATGCGCGCTATTCGAAATCGAACCGAACCTTTTGTAATAGGCGCTTACGTACTCAAAGTACACGTACTAATGGTCGTCGATAAAAAAAACACATTCGGCGAATCTTAGATAAGTACATTTAATTTTTTCAGCTTAAACTTTTAGATGAGGGAGTGCCTTTACGGTAAATTTAAATATATATTGCTAAGCTAGAATGTCAAACGTCTCTTTAAGTCAGAAAATAACTGAACAACCACCGTGAAACATTAAATTAGCCGTATATTTGCTGCATTTCATTATAAACTTTAATTGCGTGCACATCAAATTGACCATTTATTTCGTATATTCCTATTTAAATGGCTTTTTAAAAGAGTAGTTTTTATAAACCCATAAATATGTATGAATTAAAGGTGTACACTTATCAGGAAATTAATTTAAATACCAGACTTTATGCGCCTTAAAAAAAAAAAATCAAAAATGTGTGGTTGAGTTTGGAATATTAGGACTTAAAGTTAATTGTTTTCCTTCTGCCTTTGATATTTAATGAGAAATTATTTCTAAGTTATTAAGTCAGTGGCCTCGTATTCTTTGATAAATATATACAAACGGAATTTTAATTGTTAAATCAATATTAATTTTTATTCCTTTTGATATCAACACCTTGTTTGTTCCCTTATTATTACCGAGCTGAGGAAGCGATGACCTCAAGCTCCCCCTAAATAACCGTACACGTGTAATATTATTTTTATTTATTTGCCACGCAAATCGATTTATCTACTCCGATTCGCACTTCGCTCGAAAGGACTACATTTCGCACCTGCTCAGGATGCTGGCGGGTGGCATCGATGACAAGTTGCTGGTAGCCCAACGGAGGCGATTAAACCAAATTTGCTAAATTTCACACACCACTTCGCATGAAAATAAACCGAATTTAAATTTAGACACTGCGGGGGCGTACTGATTTCGAGCCTCCGAACAAGCGGAAATAGCAGCGAAGTAGGGTAATCGGATACCAATATTTCCGGAGGACAATGTCAAAGGTCGCTCCTTGAGAAATAAGGGGGAAACGGGTGGATTTTTCCGCCTACTTAGGGGCGTAGTGGGCGTGCCTCTACACACCGATTGTCACACTTTTGTTTTCTGCACTGCACGGCACACTGATAGGCGCACTTTATGAGTGGCGTACTAAAATTTTGTACAAACTGTAATTAATTAGTAAGCATTTGTCAAGTACTAAACGATCTGCGGGGGCGGCGGTGGGGGGTTCCTTCTGGTCTGTTTATGGGCATCTTTGATTTGCATTTAATAGGATAATTTTCACATGCGTCGTAATTGGCTGGCGATCGATCGATCGGTGTTTTTGGCAATCCATCTCTGAAGTCTGCGTTGAAATTCTTATGTCCCCACTAATTTGCGTGTGAACGTCTACCACGCCCACGGCCCGGGAGATGGCTCCTCCCGCCCCTTTCGGCTGCTGTTTTATGTCATTAGAGGTATTATTAGGATCGTTAATGGGGGATTTTGTCACTTGCCCGCTGGATTTCGGGCGGCTCGTCAACACTTTTTTTTGGCCAAGTGTCAAAATCTGTCTGTTTGGTGGTTTTGTTTGGTTTCGGCATTTGATTTTCACACGTCCGTTTAAATAGGTTTGCCAATTTGCTATTTGATTACGTTTATGGTCATATGTCACACAGTGAAATAAACACTGACATTTTATGATCTCTGAGCTCTCGATTCGGAGAAGCGACTATAAGGTAATGTGAACTTTTGGGCGCCACCTACTTTGGGGTCAACGGTTGGGATTGCGTAGATTCGACGGGACTCAAATAAGGCCGTCCATTTTATATTGCAGTAATTTTATTCGCAAGATATAAAACTTAATGTGCTTTAAATTTCTTCTTAACATTCCAAAATTAATAATATTGAACGTTTGAAAGCCCAAAATACTCTCTGAAATGGGTCTTATCTTATGTCTAGACATCGGATTACACGTGAACTTCTTTTATAATTATCAGATTTTTCTAACGATCCTTGATTGGACAAACAACAAATTATATCCGACTCGCTCTAATTACATACAAATATAATTTTTTAAAACAAAAATGTATATATTTTGTTGACCGCCGGGAATATTGGATATTTACGGTTGTCAGCAATAGCTTAGTGAAGAATTCTGACGGACTTTACAAGTGATTCTAACCGAATTTCGCTGTATGAGATTGCTGACTTACCCCTATTTACGTAAAATGTTTAATAAAAAGCAAACCAATATTTTACTAAGCTTAAAATCAATATATCAAGCAATGAAAAAATAAATAAAAAATCAAATTTATTTTACATACATTTTAAAAAGAATATTAATTATACTATTATGGTTGCATTAGAAATAGTTTAGTGAAGAAGGAATAAAAGCAAGCATCAATAAAAATTTTAGCTGAATTCAGCGCGAAATGATTTCTTTCTAAGGTTTTTCTTCTTCAGTGGTTTAATTTAGTTATGCATATTTTATAATTTTTATATTTTTTATTTTCAATCTTTGGCCTTAATGCCTTTCAAATTTACGGTTTCTAATCAAAGGACTAACGTTGAGATAAACTTACAAATTTGGAAAAACTGCTCCGCGCCGTAACTCGGCGTTCTCGATATAATCCAGTGGGAAAACTCCGCGAAGATGGTTTGGTTTTGGTTTATGTTAAGCTTGGAATACTCCCAATTCACG